GGAGGTTGTCTGCGGACCCCGCGCCGCCCTCCAATGGCCCTACCGAAGCCAGGGCACCGAGGACCGAGGTCGCCGGGACTCCCGAACGAGGACCTGGGGCTTGCGCAGGTCATGGGGGGAGGAGGAGAGGAGGGCCCAGAAGCCGGCCGGCGGGCAGGTGCGACCGTCAGCCCGGTATGTTTCTCCCATAGAACACAGATGTGTGGAATCTGCGAAGATCCGAGCGAAATATCCCGACCGGGTTCCGGTAAGTGGACTCCCCGCCCCCTCACCTCGCTGTCACCCCTGCCGTCTAGGACCCGTGATAGGGCCGCAGGCCATTCAACAGTTGACAAGTTTAGATTACAGTTCCAGTTAGAGTTGCAGACGGGCCAAACTGGGTAAGGAGCCACCTTGGGCCAGGGCGTGAGGGGCTTGAGCTGGTGCTGTTCAAGATACCTCAGTGCTGAATCTCCCGATCTAGGCCAGTAAGCTGTCTGCAGCCTCTGGGCTCCCTCGCCAATTATGTAAGGAACGATGTTCTAGGACAGGGCAACAGGTCACTGCCACCTTGGGGAATGGTGTTGGAGGAAGACTGTCACTTCGGTCTTGCAGGTGGTACTTTTGTCTCAGGACATTCATCTTTAATATTGAGCCTCCATCTTTACCTCACTTCTAGTTCCCTTTTCTCACTCTGACCCTGTTCTCCTTTCCTGACCAAAAAAATCTGAGAAGCTGCTTCTAGTACGTTCCCTTTAATCAATATTAATTATCTTGCATTTCTCCCATGGTAGAGGAGATAGTTTCTGTAATCCTTACTGATTTTTAGAGGACATCCAGATGTGTTATTGTAGCTCATTGCTTGTGAACAGTTCCTTTGGGGAGGGGGCAAGGGAAATAAGTTTGAAACCTAGTTCAGAGAGAAGCAACAGGCCAAATGAAGAGCTTGGTTCTTGGCTGGCTGTGATTGCCAGTCATTCCCATTAGTCCATTCATTCTCATTTTCTGTGTTCCGTGGGATCTTCATGTCCCTGTAGTGTGAAGGCAGATCCATTCTGGGGTCCTGGGGCAACAGGCTATAGAGGGAACTCTCACCAGATATTCTCAGGTCTGTCAGATAAAAGGTTGAAAAGCTCTGTAGTGAGGGCTGTGTTTCATGCATGGTGAGATCAGGGATGAGAAGTACAATAACTGACCACAGAAAAGCACTTACCGTTTCCCTGTAGCACATTTATATCAGTTCTTAACCTCCAGAGTGTGTGGTTTATTAAGTCAGGGGTATATTTTCTCATGTTACGCAGTTTCCCACCTACCTCCTTGCCCACACACTGTTCATCAGCTCTTCAACAATGCAAGACCAGAGCCTCACACTAGAAATCCATTCCTGACCTTTCTTTGCTTTCACAGGTGATTGTGGAAAAAGTCTCAGGCTCTCAGATTGTTGACATTGATAAGCGGAAGTATCTGGTTCCATCTGACATCACTGTGGCTCAGTTCATGTGGATCATCAGGAAAAGGATCCAGCTTCCTTCTGAAAAGGCAATCTTCCTGTTTGTGGATAAGACAGTCCCACAGTCCAGGTGAGAGGTGTTTACTGGTATTGGCCATCTGCTTGGTTGCTTATAGAACTCAAAACTTTGGAGGTCTGAAAACTCTTAGAGGTCCTGACTGGAAATCTGAATTTTATGCTCCCCGACATTAGGAGTTCAAGGAAAATAAGAAAGGGCTGCAATAGATGGGAGTGCACTTTGGGTTAAGAAAATAGAATGAGGCCTGAACTTAAACAAAGAAACAAAACCAAAAAGATGAAATCCAGCCTCAGACATCCAAGAATCCTTTAAAACAGTTGGGGACTTAACTTAGGCTTAAGCCATTGTTAGAACTGAAGCCTGAAATGAGATTTTCTTCAAATGATCCATGAAATAAGTCCTGTCATTCTCCCCCAGGAGCTGTGGGCCCTGCTGAAGCTCAGCTTCTGTTAATCACCCTGCCTGCTTGCTTGCTCTCCAGACTCAGCTTTGGCCAGTTAGAGTACCTTGAGAGCAGCTGCCTGGTCCTCAAGTACGCAGAAATGGCTGCTGTCCAGCCAAGGGCCCTGAGATCTCTTTACAGACTTACACTTCCTTTGGTATCACCTGCCCTGACTCACAGTAACCGCCCTGTTGCTCTTGCCATTGTGTTGCCTGGAAATAATCTTTGGAATAACCTGGGGCCTGAATCTAGGCAGGGGCATTATAATTCTCTTCTTCTAGGTAGTTGACAGCCCAGCTTTAGTCCCCTGAGGAAAGAGGAAAATTTTCTGGCTCAGTCTGAATTGCTGGTCGGTCCTTTCCCATTATTGATTTGAGTACTTCTAGGCCCTGAGCCAGATGCTGGTCCCTCTCCTCCAAGTATGAATTCCTGGCTGCATCTCATCTTGGTGACCCAAACTAAGTTTCATCCCAAAAGTAGTACTTCCAAAGCTAAGACTTTAAGAAGCTCTGGGAACTAGCCCAATGTGGCTAAAATAGGTTTCTTTTGAAAATCCTTGAAAGCCCCAGAAGAGGCCTAAGCCAAATTCTAGTCCTTTTCCTGAAAGGTAGAAAACTCGGCACTTTTTGGTCTGATTTTCTCTTTTCCAGTCTCCACCACCCCCACTTCCTGGTGTTTGGCAGAGGATAGGGGAGAAATGGAAGAGTCTTCCCTTAGGCCAAGGTTCTGTGTGAGGAGGCAGGCCAGGCCCTGCCTATGGGTACCATTGGTCTGCTTACAGTTGTAGCTCAGAAGCTGTGGTGTTGGCAGAGGTCATCTGTCGCCCCGTTGGGCTCTCCCAGCCTTCCTTCCCAGGCCTCTGAGCAGCGTGGTGCTGGGTATACTCTTGTGGTGAAGCCCTGGGCATCTGTGGTCAATCTCAGCTTCCCTTAAGGTGGTGGGGGAGGTAAATCTTCATTCATACCACCTGCAACTTCTGCAGCCCTTTATTTTCTCCTTCCTGGAGGTGGCTTCCTGGGAGGAAGCAGGTGACTAGGACCTATGGCATTCAGTTTTATTTTCCTCCGTTCTGATCCTCCGATACTTCTTGAAAGGAATGCAGCAGGCTTTTGGAGACGTAAAAGTTACGTTAGTCTAGCAATGAAAATGGCTGCAGATCTTAACTAATGCCCCCTCCCCCATTATCCCTGAGATATAAATAGAATTGGAAATGAAAAGTGATTCTCAGGGCAGCAGAGGCTGCTTCAGTGCCATTTTCTCTCTAAGTCCCATTTGACTTTCCAGCCTGGTAAGAATCCTTAAAACAAATTATACCAGTGACCCAAGTCACTAACTGGCCTCTTTGCCCAGGCCCTTCAGTGCCTTTGGCCCCAGTTAATGACTTCCTGCCCCACATTTAATACAGTAGTTCTTTGTGTGTTTGGGGTTTTTATTCTTAAAAACAAATTTGTTTATAAACAAAAGAGGCAAGTGACGTCATTGGGCTTTATGCAACCAGATGGCTGTACAAACAGAATTACCAGTCTCCTTCCTAAAGCTGGTGTTTAACTCAGCTTCACCATTTCCTCCCCAAGGCAGTGCAGCAGCCTCTTCCTTAGCACTTCCCAGCCTCCTCAGGGAAGCGTGGGGCCTCCCTTAACCTTCAGCCAGTGCTTGCAGCCTTTGGAGAGTGGCTGGGGAAATCAGAGTTGAGAAAGGATGAGGAGCCCTCCTCCATCCCATAACAGACAGCGCTGCACAAGGATTGCTATGTCTGAGGCTGAGAGAAAGTAATTTCAGTTATTTCTGCCTTGGAGCAGAAGAGTGTTGTGGAACACAGGCAACCATCATGTAAAATAACATGATTATTGTTTAGTTAGTGTTAAATATTGAATCTAGAAATAGAGACAGAAGCAAGTCCCTAAAAGTTTTACTTACTAAATTCTGAGTTCTGTTTTTTTTTTTTTCAGAAAGGGGAGCTCTCAACTGCCTTTTCCCATTTAGCATTGGAAAGTTGAATTCTCTGCCTAAGTGCCTGCATCCAGAATCAGGCCAAAACCAAAAGGAAAACTATGCCTTGGTGCAGACAGGACTTGAGAAAGAGTATCAGTGTACATGTTTCCAGTCATGGCAGCAGTGCCTACCTTTTGGTCTTTGTTTAGAACACAGACTAGAGTCTTGTTAATCCCCTATTTAAAATAGAAACAGGAATATGTTATTAAATAAAATATATCTAACATGTTATAATTTGGGAATGTTACATTGAGAAGTCTGTGCTGTTTAAGATTATAGTGTTTAGTTGCTCCTGGCTTTTAAAGAGGTACTAAGTAAAAGAAGTTGTGATGTCTTACAGTCCATTCAAACTTTAGAAATTTGCTTAAATTAAGCATTTTGGATAATTTCTGGGTAAATACCCTTCAAGAACAGGGTTTATTTCAGCAGTGGAATAGAGTTTATATCAGAGAAAAATCTAATAAAAGGAATAAGTAGTAGTTAATTTCTGTATTTTAGAATCTTGAAGCACCTTTAGGGCCATGTTAATTTTCATTTTGAGGCCAGTGCCTTTCCGGGATCCACAGCAGTGGCCACTGTCCTCCCACCTCCCCCTACCCATTCTGCCCCTGCTGCAAAAGAGATAAATCCAGGTCCAGTGGAAGCACGTGGGCTTCAGAGCAGATGAGTGACCAGGTGTTCTCGTCTTTCTAGCCAATTCATGAGTCAGGCTGGATCCCACAGCCTCCACAACCTGACCTTGGCTGGGGCCAAGGGGAGGTTGTACAGGGACTGGGCATCCACACAGTTCTAGGTCAGCCTCCCTCAATTCATAGGCTGTTGAGTAGCTTAAAACTAGTTTGCCCTCAGCAGCATGGCCATTCCTGGATGTGAATCCTTCTGGAAAGTGCCTTTATTATTGGTTAGTTTGTTTAGATCTGTATGATCCTGAATGGAGGGCTGGGGGACAGGGTTTTAGGGGACAATTTATGTTTATTTCTTGCAGTTCTTCAGGGTCCCACCACCCCTTAGCTTGGCTCCATGGCATAAGTTTGCCATTGGCTTTTCCCATGTCTTTCCTTGTCAGACTCAGAGCATGAAGCGGGCAGTCCCCCAGTACTCAGCAGCATCCTTCTGGGGTGAGCCCATGTAATACTTGATGCCAGTGACGTGCATGTGTATCAGGGACTGGGGGCCATCTTTGGGAAGCCCTGGAGTTGCATTACTGCTCGTGAATTGTCAGGGAATCCAGCAAGCCTGTACAGCTTAGCTTAACAGACGTGTTAGAGCTGCTTCTGTGCTTTCAGATCCTCTGGTGTTCCAGCAGCAGCCTGCCTGGTGCTGTGTGGCTTGGGCCTCTGTGAATTCTGAGAGGGGAACCTGTCTTTTCAGAAGTGTATGGAACTTGTCCTAAAGGGACACACCAGCCTTCTGCTGTATGCTGCCTGCTGAAAATGGGCTTTTTTTTGGCATCCTGCCCTTCTACTTGGCTATTCTGTTTTAATAGGACTTAAAATATATATATTTCTAAACTATATTTGTTGCCCAGCTCTTTTTTGCTCCAGGCCAAGTTATTCTGACTTTGTATGTGTGTGACCTGTCCCACAAGTACTGTTTTTAAATCATAGTGTACAGATGCAGTGGTCTTCTTTCCCGGCACCTAGGGACACCTCGAATCAGGTGTTCTGTCACGGGCTGCTGACTGGAGCATTTAGCTTCCAGCATTGAGCACTGTCAGTTTTCAAGTTCCTGCCGAAGGGATACCCTGAGTATGAGGACATGGTGCTACTGCCAGCTTAATAAAGTTTCCACACGATGCTGCATGGCAGAGAAAAGGAGAACAGTGAAAGGACTCTTAAAGTCATTAGGTACAGCCATCTAGCTGTCAAATTACAGGATCTGAAGGGGTGAGTGCTAAGACCTGCTGTTCAGTGTGTGACGCAGAGGCCGGCAGCAGTGGCCTTACCTGGGAACTTGTTAGAAATGTAGTCTCAGGCTTGACCCTGACCTTCTGAATCTAAATACGTACTTTAACAAGAAGTCCAGGTGACTCCTGCAAGTTTGTTTGTGTGAGAAGCACTGTTCTAAGGGAGATCTCTGCAGAAGGTACAAGGATGCTGACATTAGGCCATTAGAACAGATCAAGTTGTGTATTCACTTAGAGGCAGCACAGCTTGGTCAGAATATCTCCTAGCTTTGTAATCTGGGGTAAATTATTTAACCTCTTTGTGCCTCACTTTTATTATCTGTGAACTACGGATTATGATTATACCTGCCTCCTAAGACTTTTCTGAGGATAAAGAATTAACATATGTAGTGCACTTAGAACAGTGCTAGACATATAAATGTTTGCTATTAGAATTTTTATGGTCATCCTCTATAGCTGCTAGGCTACTGTTGAACAAATTTATAAACCCAATTTTACTTAAAAGACAGTGGAATCTAAAAACAGAGCGCCACATGTTTACAGGCACCCCCCTCCCCTGACCCCGTCAGTCTCAGGGCCTGCCTTAGACAGTAGTGGTTCCATGGTCATTGTTCACTGCGGGCAACATTCAGAGAGTCTGGGATTTATAAAGCTCCTCAAGTATTTCTAACTCAGCAGGATTTAGAGCCACTGTCCTTGGGCTTCTGACTTGCCAGGAGAAGAGCAGAACTTGGTCTGGCAAATGGAATCAGACTTGACATAGGCATGAAGGTGTCCACTGCTTCTACTACCAAACCCCTTTGGTAATGGTAGTGGGGAGATTGTAGTTCAGGTCTTACCAAGGTCACCCTGGACACCTGTACCAAGTGGAGAAAGAGTTGTGGCAATATCTGTAGCTGTTTTCCCCTTCTCCTCATTCTGAGGATTCTCAGAAAAAAGCTGGGTTCCTTTGGGCATTCCCAGCCAGCAGGGTAAAAGTCTTCTTCAGAGACTCATCTACTTGTTCAAGTCCTTTGCCAGTTACTGAATCCTCTCATTCCACTTTCTGGCTTGTCAGTCATGCTGCGGCCTAATTTCATGCTCTTAAAGATAAGCATCTCCAAAAAAAAAAAAAAAAGTAAGTGTCTCTTCCTCTGGCAAAGGGATTGTTTCCCAACTTGGCTGCACATGGAATCATCTTGGGCTTTAAAAACATACTTATGCCTAGGTCCTACCTCCAGAGATTCTGATTTAATTGGTCTGGGGTGGGACTTGGGCATGGAGCTGTTTTTCAGGCTCCTCATTGTGATATGCAGCTAAGGTTGAGACCCTCACCACTCCAGGTGTTGTTATGAGCAGGGGTTCCACCCTCTACCCACTGCCCCACAAGTCCTCGCATGTTCCAGGGCAGTGCAGTCAACAGAAATGGCACATAGGCCACGTTCGTAATTTAAAATTTCCTAGTAGCCACATTAAAAAACAGATGAAATTAATTTTAATAGTATATTTATCTAGTATATCCAAAACGTCATCATTTCAACATGTAATCAAAATTGAGATATTTTACATATTTTTTTCATACTAAGTTTTTGAAATCTTGTGTATATTTTATACTAACACACCGCAGTTCAGATGAGCCACATTTCAAGTGCTGAATGTAGATAGTGGCTACTGTATTGGGCAGCAGAAAAATGGGACATTTCTATCATAGCAGAAATTTCTAGTGGACAGTGCTTTTTCAGGGAGTCCTTATTTTACAAATTTCAGGTTAAGAGATCCTTGCAGGAAGTACAGTTGTATTGTACAAGATGCCAATGACAGGCCATTTTGTATTCATACTCATCCACTCCCACATTGTTACTTATTCTCATCTACCCACACAGCCAACCAACTAAGCTAGAAAATGGGCAGGAAGAGTAGGAAAAAAAAAAACCACCCTTTATAAATGCAGTCTGTATCCCTGTTCACATGGAGGTCCAACACAGCCCACAGGAGCAAAGCAGCAGAGTAGGGCAGCCCTTGCTTCACCAGGTTGTGGCCTTGGACCCCTCTTTATCTACCTGCTGGCCCTTGTTTTACTGAGTCTTGCATTGAAGCATCTGTTGCAACCTGTCCTGGCTGGTGACTTATGTCTGAAGCCAGCTCTCAGACCACTGTCACTGCTGGTTCTGGTTGACCTCACATGCATGGTCATGCTGATGTTTAGCACCTGTCTGCACCTCCTGCTCGTTTCTGATAGTGCAGTCATGTGGCCGTAGTTTGCCTGGGGCTCCAGGCGTTACTAGTCTTACTCTGGAGCCAGTACAGCTCAGTTTCATGGCAGAGAACTGGAACTAGATTAGGTCTCTTCTGCTGCAGTCTGATTTACTGCTAAGGGGAAGCCAGCTCTCCCACCCACATGGTTAGTTTGAGCAGTATCTATTTCTGGAGGGTTCTTAGGAAGACTGGGCAGGACTTCTTTGGATCTCAGATACAATCTGAGAGCTGAGAGGAAAGTCACTTCCCTTTGATGACGCTGATGCAGATCTCTGGAGCACAGGGTTTCTGGCGGGGGCGCTTCCACAGCAGTGAACCCACTTGTTCTTTATCATGTTAGGTGCAAATTATAAATCTTCAAATAGACCAGCCCGAAGGAGAAGAAAACACATCGCTCTTCCTTATCTTTGTCCTCCACCCACACAGGGATGGGCCTCTTGGACTCTTACTTTGCTTAATTTTTTCCCTTCCCCTGGAATTCAGAAAGCATTAACCAGTACTAACCAGCCACGTCCACCCTAGGAGCTACAGCTGGCTTCTGAAGGATTTAGTTGGTGGGAGGGTGGGTCGAATAGCCTTGCCTTGGGACTGGAGGATGGAGAGTTGATTCTAGTCTTACCTACTGATTCCCAAATTACTTTTGTCAGCTACTACCAAAGGTGTGACAGAGAGTAGCTAATTTAAGTAGTTAAGTTCCTTAGCCTCAAGTCATCTTTCTCCCAACATCTGGAGCCAGTAATCAAACCCAATTCTCAGTGTTGTTTTTTTGTTTTTCTCTTTCAAGCCTAACTATGGGACAGCTTTACGAGAAGGAAAAAGATGAAGATGGATTCTTGTATGTGGCCTACAGTGGAGAGAACACTTTTGGCTTCTGAGGACCAGTGCTGGGCTAGGTGCACCATTCCTGCTTGTGTATCTTGTAAATAACCAGCCATTTTCAGTTATCCTACCAGAACCTATTCACATAGACCTATTAGTGCATTTGTAACTGGATTTATTTCTTAATATATTGGAAGGTTTTGTTTCCTTAGACTAGTAAATTATCATACAGAGTTTTGAGTTTTTCTTTTTGTGCACTGTCCTCATGGCTACACTCTCCAGGGAACTCGTTCCTCTGGAAATCTTACTTAATGAAGATATTTCCATACTGAAGTGAGGTAGGTGGGGAATTAAAGTGCAAGGGAGGGGGATGTTGCATCTATTCTGGATTATGTATGAAGTGTTAGATGGCTAAGTATTAAAAGCATCCAAATTAAATCCTTAGCAATCAGAACACTTGCTTCACTAGATTTTGCCAACTGCCAGTCATGTTGGACTAAGCTAATCTGTTCCTCTTTCTGAAACTATTAAGGTAAATAATTAACAATAAAACTTCCTCTTATAAAGGCATTGCAGTGTGACCATGTCCTTTATTCACATTCTTTTAGATGAGAAGCAGCCCTATGTTTACCAGGTCAGGAGGAGGATTTGTGGGGCCCATGGCAGCACAGCTGGAACAGGAAGCAGTGGCCTTTGTCATTGGCGGGGGGGAATCTTTTTTTTTCAAGTGGTTAATATACTCATATGTCTCAGATAACAAGTCTCTATAAAAAGGTATATAGCGAGAAGTCTTTCTCCCACCACTGCTGTCTGACTACCCTAACCCTCCGCCTTAAGGGAAACTACTTTTACTGACTTCTTGTTTCTTTTCAGAATTTATTTTTGCAAGTTCAATTAAATATGAATACATGTCCAAATTATTTTCTTCTTTTTCTTATACAAATGAAAACACATTATATATACTTACATACATTGATTGCTTTTTTTCATTTAACAGTGTATCCTGGCGATCTTTCCATATCAGAAAGCCTTCATTTCACTTCACAGAAAGCCTTTTCATTTATTTTTACACTAAGTAGTATTGCATTTGTGGATATATCATTATTACTTAACTAGTCCCCTATTAATGTCATTTGGGTTGCTTGCAGTTTTTTTTTTTACTACTATGTCATGTGTAGTATATAGAATATAGATACAATGTTGGAATGATAACCATATACATATAGCCTTTATGTGTACCTGCAGTCATTAAGGTATTGCTCTTCAATCCTTTCTTTCTAAAAATCAAGATTTAGATTTTTCTAGGTCACATGTTTTATGATTTCACACAAATTAGAGAGAGATGTAGGCTTGCTAGGACACAAATGCATCTAAGAGGAAATGCTTGCTTACTTTCCTAAATCTTCCTCAGACTGTGTTGGGGGCTAGAGCTCTACACAGAATAAAGAAACCAGGTATCTAAGAACATGTAGTTAAAATGACTGTCAAGCAAAAGGGAGGGAACAAAGATCTTTAACTTCATCTTTACCAAATTAATAAGTAACCTGTCAAAGCTCTCTACTGATATCAGCTTTCCAGTTGAGATCAGAGGAAACATTCTTGTCATAAGCATCTTGTTGGTCTTTTCCAAACATGACCCAATAAAATCTTGGTGGTCTTTGCTGGTAATTCCACAGTAGAAGCAGGTAGAAACTAACCCCTCGGCAAGGTACAGGGAAGGAACAAGTTCTGTGTTATAAGGAATGTTGTTTGCAGTGACAAATACCCAACTCAGATTTGGCTTAAGCTCTAAAAAGGCAGTTATTTCAACTGTCATGAAGGGATGGTTCACTGGCTTCAGGCATAACTCGAATCAAAGATCAAATGATAACATCAGAACTTTTCCCATCTTTAGGTTTTTGTTTTCCTCTATATTGACTTCATTTTCAGGCGGATTCTTTCCATGTGATGGCAAAGATGACCCCATAAGTTTAACAACTCCTGTGGAAGAAGAGCATTTCTACTGAGAACAATGTCAGAAGTCCCTGGGGGAACTCTGATCTTACTTGAATTATGCACCCCTACCCATTCCTGTAAGCAGATGGGGTAGGAGGTCCCCAGAGAAAGAACTAGGCATGGATTTCTTGACGTAAGAGAAGCCATTTTTGTCCTAAGCCATCTTGTGATCTAAGCCTGGCCATAATGCTTATCCTTGAACAGGTCTCAGTAATCAGGCAAGGGAAGTAACAATAGCAAAGATAATGTATCAATTGTAAAAACTCCCAGTTCAGTTTCACTGGTAATGATAAGCCTGAAAGGCTCAACCACCAGATCCACTGGAACCTAAGGAATGATGATGTTGACCTTTTCTGACCCTCGTGACTTCGATCGACTAAAGCTTGGACTCTGTTGATTGCCCAAGCCCCTTCATGAATATTCATGTACCCTTAGCTTAAAACTTTCCCAATTTTGCTGTTCTGGGAGCAAAATGCAGATCCCTGGTGTTCTCCTTACCTGCTGCAAGTTATAAATCCTTCCATCTCCCAATCTTTGGCTTGGGTGTGTCCTCTGGTTCAACATCCACCAAGAGGCAAACCCAATTTTCAGGTAATATTCCCTGCTTGGGGTAGTGGCTTGTGGGTAGGAATGGTGAACCCCTCCTTAACCACGTGGTACAGACATGGAGGAGGACCTCTTCCAAAGGCATTTTCATCTGTTTCTGTATCACAACCACAAATCCACAAATGGAACTGAGAAGAAACAGATGGGAGGAAATCAAAAGGCAAGTGTCACCAAAGCCAACTATTTTTCTTTTAAAAGTAGTTTATACTTAGCATTTATTCAGCACTTACTGGATATACCAGATGATTTACAAACATTGTTGCAATTCATCTTCAAAAAGCCCTCACAAGATAGTGTAATTCTCACAGCCAGCCACCCTGCTACCCAGAGGCAGAACTGAGACGCCAAACTTGCGGTTTAAGAGGAAAGACATAGTTGGCAGTATCAAATCATTTTGTGTGTGTGTGTGTGTGTTTTCTATTTACAGTGTGCCTCACATTGTGTTGGACACTGGGGCAAATATGAATAAAGCATTACCCCCTACACCAGGAGCTTGCAGTCTGGTGGTAAACCAAAACATAAATAATTATAAAGCAATGTTGTAAGTGCTATAGTAGAAAGTATTATTGGAACAGAGGAGAGAATAGCTATTACCTATAAAAATTGTTGAAGAAACCAGCCTTATCTGTAATATTAATCAATAAAAATGGATTTGTTAACCTTTCCTTTAAAATGCAGCAGATGAGTGAAGGTTTTAAAAGTTAAAAAAGAAAAAAGTTGTATCTAATCTCCCCCAACTCTAGTCCTTAACAGACACTAGTAAGATTTTATCAAACTATGTAAGACACCCTTAACCCTTTCTTAAACTTTCAGAGATTAGGAAAAGAGAATAATCACAAATTCATTTTGAGACTTAGAAAATCTCAATGCCAAAACTTTATGAGAAAAATTATACATTGATCTCATTTATCAACTTAGAAAAATCATAAATAAAATAGTAAACAAAAATTCATCAGTCTACTGAGACAATCACGATCAGTAGAGCTTAGCACAAGGATCAGTTACATAGTTCATCATTATGTCTATTATGAAAACATACCACGTTTAACAAAGGAGAATATTGGGCTGCACTCTGCAGGCCTGCAAGCCCTGTACTTGCCCAGCCTCCAGACTGAAGAAAGAGCCCAGAGTCAGCGACAGAGACATCAATGGCTTAATGGGTAGGCGATCTTACATGTCCGAAGCAAAAGGGTCCTGGAGTGACACTGCACCAAGGATGGCAGATGGCAGGCAAGACTTGGCAGCAGTCGGAGGGGGATGGTTACCAGGTATAGGGGAAATGGAGGAAACCAGCAGAGGCAAGTCCTTCATAGCCCCTTTGATAAACTAGCAGGGTGGAGCCTTTCTGATCTAAAGATTAGAATAATCACTAGCTAGGGCTGGGGCAAATACATAGGCATTTACTGATTAGGCTCTGTGGTTAAGAGGGGAGGTCAATTGTATGTAAGTGAAGCAGGCACTGGTCGAGCAGGGGATGTACAGACTGTACACAGAGCAAGAGAACAGCCATCTTGAGTGGCCTGATCACACAGAGGAAAACTATATGATCATCTCATAGATGAAGAAAACGCACCCGAAACAACTCAAGACCTATGTATAGTTTTTTTTTAAATCTCTTAGCAAATTTAGAGTTCTTTGACTTGATAAAGGGAATTCATAAAAAAATCTACATCAAATGTGTACATTAGTACATAAAGCTATGGTGGGTAAGGTAGTGTGGTACTTACGTTGAGAATGATAAATACATTAATGGAAGAGAACCCAGAAACAGACGTGTGTAAAACATGTCAGAGGTGGCATGACAAGTCACCAGGGAAATGATGAACCAGTTAACAACTGGTTACTTATATGGTAAAATTTTAGAGGCATTCCTACTAAAATTAGGAACTAAAAGAGGAAGTCTGAAGAGTAAACTTTATGGTATGTGAATTATATCTCAAAGAAGCTATTAAAGTCTGCTATCACTACGTTTACTCTGGCATAAAATTGTTCTGGCATAAAACTAATGTAGTAAGAGAGGAAATGTAAATGAGAGGCATAAGAATCAGAAAGGAAGACTAAATTGTACTAATATGCAGACAGTGACAGTCTACATAGAAAAATCCAGAGAATCTATACAAATTAAATAAGAAAGTTCACCATGGTTGCTGGATACCAGATCAGTTACAAATATTGATGATGTTTCTACATACCAGTTATAACCAATTAGGGAATATTATAGGAAAAAAATTTCATTCTCAATAGGAGCAAAATCTATAGGTGCATAGGAATAAACTTAATATAAGATGTGTAAAAACCTTCATGGAGAAAATGATAAAACATTACTGAAGGACACAAAAGAAGATCTAAACGAGGGATATACTGTATTTAAGGATGAGAAGATCCAACATTGTAGAGATGTATATTACCCCCAGATTAATCTGTGAGTTTAATGCAATTTCAATAAAAACTCCAATCAGGTTTGTGTGTATGTGTGTGTAATCTAAGGATTGATGGTAAAATCCATGTAGAAGAGCAAAAGCCAAGAATAACCAAGAAGTGTTAAGAAAAACAAGCCAGGGAGATTTGTCTTAGCAGTAATTAATTAAGACTATGCCATATGGCAAAGAGATAGACAAACCAGGGAACACAACAGAGACCCAGAAACAGACCTGTGCTTAAAATACAACATTGATGGTGTGAAAAATCAAAGGGGAAATGATTATTCTAGTTAATCCATTATTTTATAATCAGTTATATATATGAAAAAATTAGACTCTTATATTATATCATGCATAAAATAAATTCAAGGTGAATTAAAGATCTAAATAAGGAAAAACAAAACTTTAAAAAAAATCGAGGGAAAAAATTCAGAATAGCTATGATCTTAAGAGTTGGGATGGACAGCTTCTTAAGACAAACTACAAAAAAAAAGTGATAATTTTAAGTACATTAAAATTTCAAAAATTATGTTTTTTCCTCAGTTAATATTTTTACTGAGGGGATGCTGAAATATTGTTTTGGTATCACAAAAGATTTGACTCATTAAATGAGAATATCACTCTACCTCTCTTTAATAAAAGGTGACCAAATATATTATGGAATTTAAAAAAATCTATCATTTTAATTTAAAAATGAAAAACTTTTATTTAAAAACAAGGTACTATAAGCATAATTAATAGAGGCTGCAGGTTAGATGAAAATGTTTGCAACAGATATAAACCAAAAAAGAATATCCAAAATAAATAACTCTTTCAACTAATAAGATAAAAAACCCAAGAGAACAATGGGCAAAAGATAACAGATAATCCTTATCTTCTCAAGGCCCTGTATATGTTGTAAATCGCACCAACCCTACAGAGTATGCCTTTCACAAAGTCTACAGTGTGAACAGTGCCCCTTAGAGTTGTGCAGTGCACAAACTCCACACTGAAAAATACAGGCTTACACTATACAGTTGGTGGCCCTGTGAAATGCAAAGGGAAGTAAAACTATGGGAAGTCATTTCACAGTCATCAAATTGGCTAAATTTAATTTTCAACATATAAAATGTTAGGGAAGATATGATACATCTGGAGTCCTCATAAACTGCTGTTGTGGTTATAAACTGGTGCCATCACACTGGAAAGCAATTTCACAATATGCAGTAAAGTTCAAGATGCAGATAAGCTGTGACCTAGCAAATTCCACATCTAGTATATATCATAGAAATATCTCCATCCATTTGCAAGAATGATCACTGCAGCCTTGTCTGTATGAGCCAAGAACTGGAAACCAATTAAATGTCTGTCGACAGAAGAATGGAGGGATAATATGTGGTATATCCACACAAAGGAATACTATACAGCAGTCAAAATGAATGCTCTAGAGCTCCGTATGTTAACAGAAATGAATCTCCAAAATGGTGCTGATGAATGAAAAAAGCAAGTTGCAGAAGCATCATATCATTTCTATAAAGCTTAAAAACATGGAAAACATTCGTATGTATTGCTCACAGATAGAAAATTATGTAATAAAAGTATAAACCATGTGATTGAGGATGGTGGTTACCCAACAGAAGGAGGGGAAGAGTATCAGGGAAGGGTAGATATGGAGTTTCAAATACAAAGAAATGCTTTATTTCTCCAGAAAGTAAAAACCTGAAGCAAATATAGCAAAATAGTTACTGTTAGTTTTCTTTTTATTGTTATATTTGAACTATTTCATAACTTTTTGTTTTTAAGTTACATCAGTGAGAACAGAGCTTGGATCCTTCTCAAAGAACAGCACACGGTGCCTGTATTTCTCACTCCCCTTCACTCCTTAACCCAGGAGAGGCTGGCTTCCACTTCCCCGACTCTGCATTTGCTAAGGTTACCAAAAATAACCTTGTCCCCCAGTTGGGGGCTGAAGGGGACCACATGTTTCTTAGTTTTTACCTTCCTTGTCTCTCTTTCTTTGAATATATTCCACACTCCAGATTACTCCCTCTTTGAAGCTCCTAATTGGCTTTTTCCTGATTTTCCTCTGGCCTCTTGGTCACACTCTTTCCTGTGCTTCTCTCCCTGTTCCTAAACTCTCCATGTTTCCTAGGGTTCAGTCCCAGGTCCCCTTTTCTTGTCATTCCATACACATTCTCCTTGGATGGTTTTACCCTAACCTATGTCTTCAAAGACTTCCTATAAATAGATGAGTTCAAAATCTCTATCTTCAGTCAGTCTCTCTCCTGAGACCCAAACCAGTCTTTCCAAATGTCCACTCTAGGTCCCTTGGAATCAGAAATTCCTCAGAAGAGTCTGAGAGTCTGAGCTCATTGTCCACTGCCTACAACCCGACACCCCTGCCTCCCCACCACAGAGCAGCTCCTCCTCCTGGATCCCCTCCCTGATACATAGCACCTCCTTCCACCCTGTCACCCACACAGTAACCTGAGAGCCACCCTCAATACTCCCTCATCCTTATCCCCTACCTGCAATCAGCTAATCAGCCTTACCAGTCTCTGTATATTTCTCAAGTCAGTCCCCTCCCTGTGGCTTATAAAACCATTATTGTCTGGGCCTCATCATTTCTGTTGATTACTACAGTAATCCCCCAATTATGGTCTCCATGCCACTATCTCTGCCCCTAACTAATCCATCCCCCTTACTACAGAGAAGAGTGATCTTTCTAAAATGCAACTTCCAACTCAGTACTCTTTCCTCAAATACCCCTAAAATGCTGAGTCATCAGGATAAAACCATTCCCCTTCCCAGGACTTAAAAGTCCTCCCCAACTTGCTCCAAATGCCTCTCCAACCCTTTCCACACTCCGCCAGCCCAGCCATCCTGTGCTCTCATCTCTGGCCTTTGCATATGGTGAATTCTCAACCTCCAGTACCTTTTTCTCAAAGCTGTCCCCATATGCACCACCATTTCTCTTTGCTTGCCAGCCCCTAGTACTTCCCCTTCACCTCTGCTCTAGTGTACTGGGCCTATGAGACCTTCCTGTGCCCCTCCCTCTCCCAGGTTGTGAAGCCTCTTGCTACTGTGGTGCTGCCTTCATCTCAAAAGCGAGGGCACTGACACTCTGAAAATGCACTCACCTACCCAGTATCACACACCCAGTACATCCTGGAGCCACAATTCAGACTCAGGTCTATAGCCAAAATCTATCCTTGTTCTGCTAGACCAGAGGCTACAAATTGAAGGCCTGTGTCTGTCTGTGGCCTCTAGACATGTACATAAAAATCCAACTTTCTTGCTTCTCCTGAAAAAATTCTGATGATTGGCAACAGTCAGCTGGGACAAAATAATGGCTCCTCTTTGGACAAGGGATACTTTCCAGTTCATTCCACCTACTTTCTTTCAGTTTCCTATTCCTGGATATACTTGAGTTTGCAACCTTTGCACCACAGTTTATGCACCCTCCTTTATTCTAGAATAGAATTCCTCCAAAGTATATGCAAGCAGTGGGGGAGGGTATAGAACAGCAGTAGAGTGCCTGCTTGGCATGCAAGAGGTCTTGGGTTCAATCTCCAGTACCTCCATTTAAAAATAAATAAATGAAATAATAAACAAACAAACAAACCTAATTACCTCCTCCCAAGAAAACAAAAACAAAAACCCAAAGCATATGTAAGCAAAATACAAACTCACATTGGTCCTCACCTTTCACGAGAGGCAGAGCTGGGCTGAGCCATCCACCTGTGTCAGCACAGGTGAGTGAACTGTCTGGAGCCAGTGGAGACGGTGCTGCCACTCCATCACCCCAAAGCTTTGTTTCTCCTGCTGCCAGATGGTTTCTCAGCCCAGCAGTTACTGATGTGCTAGGATAGGAGGGCATTCACAATACTGCTGGATAAATAAGGAAAGTACAACACAAAAATACCAACTGAAAAGGCACCCACTGGAGGACAAAATAGTCAACAAGTGGTAGCAATAAGAAAGGAGGTTGATGAAACTTTAGGGGATGAGGGGAGAGCAGGGAACATACATTTAGAAGAGCTCTTTGGTTTGCAATGAAAATGGGCAAACTAGATTGAGTGTGCATCTACTGCTGGGCAAAGCATGGGTTGCCCATAGATCAATTTCTCAGCAGTCTTTTCAGAGGTCACATATAAAGGTCTGTTGTTAAACTGAAGAAAGACGCAGGGACTGGGCCCTGTGATTCTGCTCTGTTGTCAGGTTGGTTTCACCACCCAGGGGCCCACGGTGCCTCTCCCCACGGAGACACTGCTGGGTTTCAATGCGCTTTTCATTCTCTAGGCTGCCTGAGCAAACAGCCATCACTGTTTCCATTGTGAGCTCTTCTCCTTCTGGAGCCAAGCCCAAGTTGAGGGAACATGTGCTTGAGACCAACATTTGGCAGCCTGGGTCCCCACTTGGAGCGACTTTCCGCCTTTGCCTTTTCCCCATCAAGACACGTTCCTGCATTTTGGAGACTAAAAATCACTGCTTAACAAGCTTAATTCTAAAACCTGGTTCCCCACCCTGCTAGCTCATTGGGATGAAGGACAAAAAATCCACACCAAAATTCAGCGCCCAGGCTACTAAGACAAGAAATATTTCCACCTCTCCCTTGCTACCAACATGACTGAGGCCATACATATCTCAAAGTGTCAGTGGGCTTACCTTCCCGGAGAAAAATTCTCTTTCCATTATCTACCCAACTGAGAATTTTTATGAGGAGTCCTATCTCACAGATGAAAAAATTGAGCATCCTAATCCTGGGACCTCATTTTCTAGACTAGGTATCCTGTTAGAAGCCAGAGATTAAATGCTCTCTCCACGTCCACATAGGAAGTAGTGGCAGGATTGGTACTAGAACATAATTACTTTAATATCCAGACCAAAGTTTATTCTGCTATGCCAAGTAATTAATAAGGACTAGGGTTTTTTTTATATTATTATATTGAGATATAATTACATGCAATAAAAACACAGATCTTAAGTGTAGAGCTTAATAAATTTTGACAAATTAATCAACACAGAATGTTTCTATCATCCTAGGAAGTTCCCTCGGGCCTTTCCCCACTCAACTCCCTTCTCCCATCTTCCCCCACCAGGCAACAACCCCTGTTCTCATTTCTATCCCTTTTGGTTAGTTTTGGGACCCCAGTTTTAAGAAATAAAAATTGAATGCCTGTGACTTTGCCTGCAGCCCTTAAGTGTCTTTTTGTAGAATTTTTCTCCCCCTTTTGGACCACAAGTACTACTTAAGATTTGTTTTGGATACAGCTGGACATTCTTCCAGAAAGTCAGTCTTAGCCCCAGTACAGATATATTTAGGTTTAAAGGGATTCACGTTTATAAGATATGAAGGCCAACTATAATTCTTCAAAATGTGGTATAAAAAGAACTCTTCCTTCTGGAAAATAAAGTAGCTTTCTCCAAAATATCTGCCTCCTTGGCTCCTTTTGTATCCCTCCATTCCTTCACAGTAGCTGCATTTGTTCCTATGGAAAGAATTGCTTGAGCCCTTGAAAGTGAGCACATATGCAGTATCTTTCTACTTGGAAGCTGTTCCCCAGTTTCGACAACCTTCTGCTGCAGTGGGACTCCTTTTAACAGCTCACTGACTTCCCCAACATCATCACAGGAGGATAGTGGCAGCTGAAAACCTCACATTGTCCTAAGCTATTTAACTAGCCAGCAAGGGATCTGGGTTTTAGAAACTGGAAAACTTTGGCTAAGGCGTGCTCAGAACATCGTCTTCAAGCCAAAAAGTGTTGCCAAGGTCCAGGTGCAGGCAGCTTTCCACCAGCCACAGACACGACAAAATCAGATGGGGCCTGCTTCTCTTCCCAGTGGAGCACTGGCGGCCAGCACGGGTCATTTTCTCCACATCAGTTTGTCTCCCCAGACAGTGAGCTAATGCTTGGCACTGAGAAACTCCATAAAAAAGGCAGTTAACTCCATGCTTTGAGGCAGAAATGACTACATGGAATAAATGCACAAAATTATTTAAATCAAGCCAGGCTTTAGAAATTCTAAAGAAAAAGAGAATAAAAATTATGCACACATAGTTTTAACATAGAGCCCACTATGAACACAGAATGAAGAAGAAGCACTGCTGAAAGAGCCAAATTCCAGAAAACATTCTGTTAGTAAAGAGAGAACTGTGTGGAATTATAAGCAGAGCTGCCTAAAGCATGCTGAGTCCCTCTTCCCTATACAACGTCACTTCTAGTATGTTGTGGTGTTCCTACAGTTTAAAACTATTTAAGACTTTTCCCACTTTTTTCTCTTTCCTAAAATTTATTTTAAAAAATAGGTATATATTAACATGGTTCAAAATTTTAAAAAATAAAATACAAAGGGTATTCAGTGAAAAGTCTCCCTTCCACTCCCAGGCCCCAGCCATTCCCTTTCCTTCCCCATAGGCCCTGGTTAGTGGTTTCCTGTGTATCTATTGAGAGACAGTTTAGCAAAACATAGGTCCTTTGTTTCAACTTTCTTTTTAATAGAAATAGAAAGTTATGCTGTCCTGCATTTTCCTTTTTTTTTCTTTTTGCACTCATTGTATTAAGAAACAGAACTTTGGGGGAGAGGGTATATATAGCTCAGTGGTACAGTGCATGCTTAGCATGTACAAGGTCTTGAGTTCAATCCCCAGTACCTCCATTTAAAAAAATTAAAGTAAGTTAATTTAAAAAAAGAAACAGAATTTTGAAGACATATTTCAACAAAGAAAAATTATATTTTTACCCTTTGACCCAGCAAATCTCACCTCTAAGAATCTATCCAAAAGATACACTGGCAGAAATACAAAATACTCAATGTAGGTTATTCACAAAGCATTCAAAAGATAATGAAATGTCCACCAACAACTAATAAAAATGGTTACTGCTGAGGGCGGGAAGAAACAGAGGGGAGGGGATAAGGTTGGAAGACTTCTCTGAATGTATCTTTTTTTTTTTAACTTGTTTTAACTTGGGAATCACATAAATAGTTTACATAATTTTTTAAAAAGCCTCCCTAAAAATTGAAAGCAAAATAAGACAAAATTAACTGTGTATAGATTTGGAGCAATAACTAGAGAGGAACTATTTCAAATCACTTTAGAACATGATCCCTGGATCAGGGTTTGTCAGCCTCAGCACTATTGATATTTTTGGCTGGTTAATTTTTTGTTGTGGGAGGACAATTTTTTGTTGTCCTGTGTATCCTTGGGTGTTAGCACCCGAGGCTCAGGTGAGCTTCCCTGATTGGCAACACTTTGCATGTACTGTCACACATCACACACCCCTGCCAGGGGAATTAAGTGCTGTGTGTGTGACTCCCCTGGGAGAGCCTCTAAAATGTAGGAGGAGGGGGCATGCCATGCCAGGAGGAGCCATATGGGGAAGCACCAGGGTGGAACAGGAGGCAGAGGGAGCTAGGATGAAATGTGGGCAAGAGCCCTTATTGCGAAGGGAAAGGGAGGGGCCAGGTAGGGGAGCAGGTTTGGGACTGGCTAGTTTGACGAATTTCAGAGGACTCTGAGGCACAGTGACTGTCCCTATTTTTTAGGTGACTAGGGCAGGTGGGTAGTGGCCTGGAATGTGAGAACCCCAGAAAAGGGGTGTTTGGGGTATGGGCTCTGGATTGGTTGGTTTTCATATAAAAAGTGCACTCATGGATGAGTCTTTAACTATCTCTAGAAACTGGCTAGCCCTGGGAGGGATAGTTTCTCCAGGGTCAGTAAGGCTAAGATGTCAAAGCATCAGAAACACATGATTAGCACAGAGAGGACAACCAGAAACTACTGCTGGCTTTCTCCTAGACTTTGTCTATGCTGCTTTCCCTTTGCTGACTTCAATCCTTTCATTGTAATAAATGGTAACTATGAGTAAAACAGCTTTTTAAGTTCTGAGAGTCTGTCTAGTGAATAGTCAAAACTGGGGTGGTGCTGGAGACCCTCAACACAGCTGTATTATGTGAAAGGGTGATGGGGAACTTCATAATGGGATAGATTAGGCTGATACCACTGAACCCACTGATCAATCACTAAAAGTGGGACAACCAGATGTTATGTTCCCTTAGATGTGATGCAGCAGAAGTGTGCAGAATCACCTGCAAATGAGCTGAACCGGAAACTAATCAAGCATGTAAGTGCAAATTTACAGGAAATATGTGGGACAGAGGAACTTGTTATCAACACTGGAGGAAATAAGCAGCCAAATCCTGGGCGGAGTAGAGGCTACAGGACAAAGGACCCATTTGTTAAACACATGAAAAAGAGAGTGAACTGTTACAGATTTAGCCAGGTAAAAGATACCTCAATCAAATGCACTGTGTGGACTTTGGATACCAATTTGAAAAAATGAACAGTCAAAAGACATTTATGAGACAACAGGGGAAACCGAATGCAGACTGCATAATAGATATTAAGGAATCATTGTTAATTTTTTGAGTGAAATATGATGGTTAGGATTCAATTTAAAATGCTCCAAGAGAAAAAAATTGGAGAGGAAGGGGCAATAGATCAGATAACAGCAGCAGAAAGCTGTGGCTGTTAATCTTCTGTAGATAAAAGCTTCTGCCAGTCAAGGTATCCTAAATGCTACCATATCACAGGATTTGGAGTCAGGCAAAAGGATCTCTCTGATTAAAGTAGCATATGGGAGAGCCTAACTTTCGGGTAGTGATATTTCTGTCTTTCTTTCCTGCTGTCTAACAGAATTTCTTACAGAAAAAAATTCAAGGACAACTTGTTATGAAAAGCTTATGCATTACTTCTGTAATTAAAAAAAATTGAGAACATATGTTTACACACAAACTTAGAATAGGCAAATCCATAGAGACATAAGGTAGATGACTGCTTGCTCTGGGGTTAGGGGGTTGAGGGGAAATGGGGAGTGACTGCTAATGGGTACTATACTATGTCAAAGAGTGCTCCCGACCAAATTTAGAACAAAAATGTCCTAAAATTGAGGTGGTGTTTTTGCTCATCTTTGTGGATATATTAAAAACCACTAAATTGTATACTTTAAACGGGTGAATTTTATGGTATGAGAATTATATCTCAATAAAGCTGTTATTAAAAAATATTTAAAGCTATAAAAAATGCTGAGGAACCTACAAGGATCTTGAATAATCCCAATTTAGAGAGCTTCCATTTTCAGTTAATAAATTAGGAAGTAAAGAGGTTGATAGTTAAATATTAGAGGTTAGTGAAAACAGGATTGGTTGCTAGGTTTGTTGCTGAGTTGCTTTAGGGACTTTTGGCCTTTTAGACAGAACTCTTTCCATTGAAAATCATAGAAAACGGTGTCAAATGGGCTTACTCAGAACAACAGGAATTTATCTCACATAACTGAAGTCCAGAGTAGGCATTAGCTTCCGGCATCCAGACAAGGTCATGAGAGCTTTGATTTCTCTTGGCTGTTTCCTTCTTCACTGCTTTCATTCACAAGCTGGCTGTCTCTCTGCAGCAGGCAAAGGCAGCCACTGGCAGCTCCGAGACTGCATGGCGCTTATAGCTCCTGACACAAGAGGAGAGAGAATCTTACCTGAAAGCTCTGGCAACAGTTCCAGGACTGTTCAGGTCTGGCTCACATTCCTGGAGCCAAGGAATAAGGTTCACTTCTACCAATTCACATGGATAGAGCAGGAAAGGGTGGCTCTCTGAAGAGAGAAAGGCTGGGTGGACAAAACACATGTCCAGTATGACAGGTGAAGAGCCAAAACTTGCAGACTCAAACTTCTCAGCCTAATCAATACGTGCTGACTCAATGCAGGAACATACAGAATGGCACTGCTGCAGGGTACTTTTAGAGCATCCCATTCCAGATTCTTGTTCCATATTTTAGAGAAGCCCTAAAACGCAGGACACATTCGAAGGTCATTAGTGAGAAGCTATTTTAGCAGAGAGCCACTTCAATCAAGTATAGATTGTTCTATGTTCCAGAATTCCATCTATCTGACACAGAAGAGATACATCGCTCTGGTAGATGGAAGACTTCTTCCCCTGATTAGCCACAAGGAAAGTTAAGGCTTGTCCAGCATAAAAGAGTAAGGTGGTCGAGTATGAAAGAATGGAAAATACCGGGCTGCCAGTAAGCTTTTTGTGAACTTTCTCTTCTCATTTAAACTGATGATAATCTGCCGGATTTCTGATCCAAGATCCAAACGCCTGCTTCCGGAGTATGCTCCAGGCTTCCTGGTAAGCGGATGCAGCCTCCTTGTACTCTTGGTATGTCTCGAGCCTCTGCACCCTAATACACACACACCACCAAGCACACAAGGTTCTTACTGGACAGCTTACCACCAGGGCCAACAAGACACCGAGGCAATCAGCTGGCCAGATTTATTACAAGAGACTTAGGAACAGGAGGGTTTTGTTATGCTTTCCTAGAATGACTCTCATCTCCTTTGTAGGGAATTCACTAGAAAGCAATATGAATTAAAACAGGTAAGAATAAACAGAATGCTAGCTTTGTTTGATCCTGGTAAAATCAGATAAAACAAGAACAACTCTGTCTTCTTCTTTTCGGTTTAAAGTTTTCTAAACATCTATAATTTCCAACATTAGGATCTAGCCATTAGAAATTTCTTGGTTGCATTTTCCCAAAGCACTTTCTGTCTTATCCATATTCTCCTCTTGGTACTGCCAGCCAGCACTCCTTCCCACACCCCGTGGCTGTCTCTGACTGCTGAAGAATGGCTGGTGTGCTGAGTACTATCTGTAATACTCATACCCAGTTCTAAGATTTGCTTGTGACAAAGATTCTTTTGAACAAACTTGAGTCAGGCTCCTCTGAGCCCTCTTCCTGACCCAGCTCTGACCCTGAGCTCTGTCTTTGCCATCTTATAGTTGAAGAGACTGACTCACGTCTCATTGATTCCGGTTTTATCCTGCTTCTACTCTTTCCTTTTTTGCCAAGATCTGAGGAGACCCAAGTTGTTTCTTCACTCACTTCAGCACAGAGCAAAGCTGCTAATTGTAGCAAACACTGATGTTAGCTGTTAGATCAATTTCCCACAGCTTTCTGTTGGTTAATGGATGGGAGCTACACACATGACAATGTTAAATTTTACCTGAGTCCTCAGTTCCTAAAAAAAGCTATGGTTATGAAACCTTCCTCCCACCCTTCTATGTTCTGGCAAATGGCTGACTGCAAAGAGCTGCCCTTCCTCCTGACTTAGATAGACTTACAAACGCCCCTGGGTTTACCTGCGACAACCACCCTTCCCCATGACTTTGACTCACGGATGCCTCCTGGTTTACCTGTGACAAAGTCAGACACAGACCTTCCAAATGCCCAGTTTTTGTCTCATAACGATTAGCTGAACTGTTTGTACCCACTGACAAAATCTTGACAAATTATCTGCTAATTTGACCAAGTTTTAATTATGCTTCTCTCCTTCCCCTACACCCTTGAACTTTGAGCCACTCTTGGCCTGAGCCAGCATCAGCATGTGTAACAACCCTTCTTAACAACCCCTCCTGAGAACCGACATTTCCTGTTCAACTGTCTCATCACACCACCTGCTCATCCCATTCCCTGTTCTCAGTTCTGCCTAACCTTGCTTACCTCTCTGTATAAAAGAAAACTCTTTTGCATCTACTGTTCGAGGGGCTTATAGATCTTAGGATTGCAGTGCTCTTGCTATTGCATCAGTCCTCCTCCTCCTATTGTAACAGGCCCCTTCTCATACTGCAATAATCCTTTCGAAGTCCTAAGTCCAGATATGTTTTAAACACACAGAATATACGGAAACCCACCCAGTTCCAGTCTGACTCATTTTTCCAGACAAGAAACAAGCAAACTGACCATGGATGACTGGAGGGCATCAATACTGACTGCAAGATGCATGCTGGTGATAACAGCTGGCTAGCCTCTTCAGACAGAAGTGCTGAGCTACTCATTCGTCTCCCCACTGTCATATAAGAAAGAAGCTGGCTGGCATTTGTTGCCAGTTCCTGGACAGGAACCTCAAATTCTTAGAATTTCCCAAGTGATAAATGTCTTTGTTATTCATGATGAACCCCTCAGATCACACCAAGTTTAAGCTTAATGAGGTGACTCATGGTGGGTCCTAGACAGTTTCAGGGTAGACTAGCCATGCCAGAAAGCCGAACCATGAGATCAGAGAGTTTGGGGTGGGGAAAGCGGAAGGTGGAAATTGAGCTCAATCACATCATGTGGCCAACGATTCTATCAGTCATGCTCATGGATGAAACCCCAATAAAAGCTCTGGACACTAAAGTTCTGGTCAGCTTCCTGGTTGGTGACAGACAGAGATGTGCTGGGAGGGTGATGTATCCTGAGGACTACGAAATGTCAGGTTTGGAACTCTCTCAGACCACACCCTGTGTGTCCCTTCTTTTAGCTGGTCCTGATTTGTATCCTTTAAAATAGAAGGTAATTATAAGGATGGTGCTTTCCTGAATTCTGTGAGTTGTTCTAGCAAATTATTGAACCGGAGCAGGGAGTAGGAACCTCCGAGTTTGTAGTCAGTTGGTTGGAACTGTGAGTGGCTTGGGGCACCCCCAGCTTGTGGCTGGTGTCTGAAGTGAGGTCAGTTTGTGGGGACTGTGTCCTTATCCTGTGAGGGTAACTAACACCCCAGGGTTAGTGTCTGAACTCCCCCCAACCCCGAAGTGGCTCTATAGCCCTCTACATTCCTGTGTGGAAAGTAATTTAAGTCATGGAACTGCAATTCCAAATCACTGATGTGAACAATGGAAAAAGAGAAGAGAATGACATTCCTAAAAGAATACATTGCTTCCCAAGCACTCACATTTCCACAACGCTCTCCATTGGGAGGTGGAATAAAAGGAGGGCCTGGAATGGGCCAGACTCAATCCCACCCTTAGGCTCCTGTGACTCTGTACCACCAAACTACCCACTTTTCACACCTGAGATCATACTTGTACCTAAAGGTGGGGCTGCAGGGATTGAAGAGTATGTGGTCAGTAGGAAGTACCCACTGGCCTACTGAACCACCACTCCTGCCAAAGCCTTCTACCACACAAAAGCCAGGATTAAACCAGAAGTCTTCCTAAACATAAAAAAACATAGGTCAATGGTATCACCTGAGGGAGTCTGGCCACTTGTCCTCTGAAATACTGCTCAGCAGCTTCTGGAATGATCTAAAGAGTTCTATTTTGCTGATTCGGGATCTGTTTAGAGAAAGAAGACCAAGAGGATTTATTAAATGTTTAGTATGTACGAGCCTTCACATAGTATCTTTTTAGGTCTGAATGTCCCAGAGCCCCCATTTTCACCTGTACTTGGCAAGAAGAAAAATCTAGACCTGAGAGTCTGATTATGTTGAGGCACAAAAATGATTTTCATTTTAAGAAATGTCATCAGTGGTGAATTATCGAAGTGAGAGGCAAAAATGGGGTAAAAACAGAGGGAATTACTAACTTTCATCCCCAGGATGCCTGTCAGCCACGTCTGGCTACCTCCTTCCAAAAGCACTGGCCCCTTGGGTAATGCTGCTTACAAGCAATGGAAGGCTTTGTTTCAGAGACCTGAGTGCTGCTCCCTGTGTGAACAGTGGTTATAAAGCCCATTTGGACAAGTCACCTGAGGAAGAATCTCCAGGCTGTCCCCCTGGGCATTGTGAGCCTTTGGAGGTGAATCCTTTGCTTTTAACATCAAGCTTTACGGTGGCCAGTTTGAAAGAGTGAAAAAAGTCAGTATGAAGTCCTTACCAGCTACTTGGGCCTTCTTGGTTTTGGCTGTTCATGACAGACTATACTGTATGTACCTCCTTCCCTTCCTGCATATACACAATTCATGGGCTGATCAAGAAGTTCAGAAGTGTTATGTGTGCCAACAACATACAGTCTCATCTTTACATACCATACCCTCCAACCAACCTTGAAAATCGTACTCAGACCCAGTGGCCATCACTGACATATATGAAATAGGGAATTGTACGGTCTACCAAAAAGTTTTCTTACCTGGCAGGGACCTAGCCTATTGCAAGAATCACTGTTTAAAGGGGGACCCTGAGCCCCAACATGCCACCATCTCTGGGCCTTAACTGCGTTAGAGTGACTGCTGGCACAAAGGAATATAAGGCTGCTATATATTTTTAAAAAAAGGGGGAAGGGTATAGCTCAAGAAGTAGAGCCCATGCTTAGCTTGCACGAAGTCCTGGGTTCAATCTCCGGTACCTCCCCCCAAAATAAATAAATAAACCAAAAAAAAAAAAGACTACAACCAAAAAAACTAATGGAACTCATTAACAGATGACAGGAGAACAGTAATAAAATTATGAGGAAAATATATACAAAGAAAGTATTTGTTAGAATTCAACATCCTTTGAATAATTTAAAATCTTTTACCAAACTAGTGATAGAAAACATAGTATTTAAATTCATAAAGAATATCTATAAGAAAACCTACAGGAAATATATGTCCTTAAAATCAGGAATAATACCAGGATATTTGGTATCATTGCTTTTATCCAACATTATAAGAATGTCTGGTCAGTAAGACAAGGAATGAAAGGAATAAAGACTGAAAAGCAAAAACCAAAGTCATTCTTTGCAGATGATTGTGCTATTGTTAGTTGTGATCAGCACAGTAGGTTAAGAAAAAAAACTTTAAAAAGGAATGGAGGTTTGGAAAGGAAACACTGTTTGAAAAAGATTGTTTTCATTAAAAAATTTCAAAAGAATTTCCATATACATTAGTAGACTAAAATGAGTTAGCTAAGCTGCTAGATACAACCATTAATTACAAGAGAGAAACAAATAACAAAAACTGATTGCAATAGCAGTCACCAGAAAATGAAATAAAAGGAAATTACTTAAAATGGAATCTGTGGTAGCCAGCATTCAAGATGGTGATTCTTGCCTCCTGGAATTCATGCCCTATGCAATCCCCTGAATATGGGGTGGGAATGCATTGAATAGGGCTGATCCAAAAAACCATTAGGAGATTGTAGATGGCGTGTAACTTCTGAGACTAGTCTGAAAGGGCTCTGTGGCCTCTGCCGTGCTTGCCTTGGGAGGAACGAGCCACCATGTTGTGAAGACAAATATTTGTAGCTTTATGGAGAGATCCAAGTTGAGAGGAACTGAAGCCTTGCCAACAGCCAGCACTGACCTGGCAGCCACAGGAGTGAGCCACTTTGAAACTGGATCCTCCAGCTCCAGCCAAGCCTTCGAGGACTGACATAATGGATTGCAACCTCATGAGCCCCTGGGTCAGAATTATCCAGTTAAGCTCCTCCCAAATTCCTGACCCACAGGGACTGTGGGAAATAATACAAGTTAACTGTTGTATTAAGCTACTGAGTTGAGTTTTTTTTTTTGTTTTTTTTTTTGAGGAGGGGAGAGGAATTTGTAGTACAGCAACAGACAACTAACACAACGTTCAAGAACTAATACAACATGGATGCTAGCTGCTATGCTCCAATGAGCCCTGGTTCCTTTTAGCAGTGAGGATTACATTCTTAGATATTAGATTCTTCCTGGTGACTTGGTTAACACTGCTGGTTGGTGAAACAAAGAACTAGGAAAGCTATACATACATACATAATTTTTTAAAGATTTTAAAATTCATATTCACATTTCAATCTAGCCCTATCTTTATTCTAACATATTTAGACACACTTAATTTTTAAAAAAATCTCTTACTGTTCTCTTTTGTAGTCCTACAGGCCATGTAATGATCTCTCCAGGATGCTCTGGTATCTCATCTGGGATGGAAAGAAAATTTGCTTCTTCAGAGCAAAGAGAATTTAAAAGGATTTGCCACATTAGGGCAAAGGGTAAAATTAAGCTTCTTGAAAATGAGGGTCCTTTATCTGACTCCTGCTATTATCTCATTGTTTCTAATAAATGCAAGGACTTAAATAAAATAATACCTTCTATGGTAACATCCCAGTATGAGTTCATATTCCAGATAGTTCTAAAAAAGGTAGTCCGAGGATAGCATTCTGGAATGAGCAGTGAGAAAACCCATTCTCTCCCTAGCACTTGTTGGTCTTTAAAATGAAAATAACTCTGATCCTTTCACATATAATATGCAGCTTCATTTGATGGCCAAGGAGAAAAATCTATCTTAACAAGATGTCTACAGCAAGGCTTGCACCTTGTTAGAGGTCCTCTCTCTCATTCAATTCTCACAACATTCCTGGGCGATAAATACTCTTAGTTACCCTTGCTTTATTGCCGGGGAAATGGGAGGCTTAGAGAGGTAAAGTAATTAGCCCAGGTTCATACAACTGGGAGGAAAGGGAGCCGGGAATTAAACTTCAGTCTCTTGAGCTGAAACTGAGTTCGTCTGCCGAGTTTATGATTAACCTCTCTATCCAAAACTTTACTCCCTTTCTTTCCCTGAACCTGCTCCCCACAAGATTGAGGAGTATCAAAGAAAAGAGGATTTGAAACCATATACGAGCCCCTGTGTCTGTGCCCTTTGAAGTAAAAGGCTTTTGCTTTAGTCTCCCAGGCCTCCCTTGAATCTCCAAAGGCTGGCTCAAGAGTGAATGATAAGGAAATGTGAAGATGTAGAAACAAAGGATAGCTGTTGGGCCAGGAAATGGGCAATAATTTTGACTATAAACCATGTCGCAGAATCACCAAATTCCTAGTTCGCTGAAAGATACAGATAACATTCCTAAATTGTTTCTATAGAAGTAGATCCCTACCAGATGAAAACTGCTCACCATAAGCACATAGACCCTAGACCGACTGGAAACAGAAGGTTTTTGATGATGCTTGAAACTTCACCTTGATGCCAACCAATCCAAGAACTGTGCATGAGCTGATCACATACTCTGTAGCTCCCTCCCTCACAATGCCTTTAAAACCCCTTCCCTGAAAGCCATCAGGGAGTTTGGGTCTTTTAAGCATGAGCCGCAGGTTCTCCCTGCTTGGTGCCCTGCAATAAATGCTGTACTTTCCTTCACCATAACCCCCCCCCCCGTGTCAGTTGATTGGTTTTACTGTGCATGGGCAAGTAGACCCAAGTTTGGTTAGGTAACAGAACTGCAAAGCTTCTGCTCTTCCCACCATTCACTTCCTCCCCATAAGGAATCTGCCTTCTAAATGGAGAGACGTTCACAACATGTCAGAGACTTCAGATTAACTACCAATATTCTCATTTTACAGTTATTAACACACTGGGGTCCAGAGAGCTTTTCATGTGCCTATTGGCCGGCCATCTGTATGTTTTCTTTGGAGAAATGTCTATTTAGATCTTCTGCCCATTTTTTGACTTGGCAGTTTGTTTTTCTCTTATTGAGTTGTATGAGCTGTTTGTATATTTTAGAAATTAAGCCTTCGTCAGTAGCATCATTTACAAATATTTCCTTCTAGTTCGTAAGTTGTCTTTTCATTTTGTTTATGGTTTCCTTTGCTGTGCAAAAGCTTATAAGTTTGATTAGATCTCATTTGTTTAATTTTGCTTTTATTTCTATTGCTTTGGGGGCTGACCTAGGAAAACATTGTTATAATTTATGTCAGAGAATGTTTTGCCTATGTTCACTTCTCTTCGTTTTAGGGGGTCCTGTCTTATATTTAAGTCATTTTGAGTTTATTTTTGTGTATGGTGTGAGGGAGTATTCTAACTACATTGATTTACATGCTGCTGTTCAGCTTTCCTAATATCACTTGCCAGAGAGACTGTCTTTTCTCCACTGTATGTTCTTGCCTCCTTTGCCAAAGATTAATTGACCATAAATGTGTGGGTTTATTTCTGAGCTCTGTCCTGTTCCATTGATCCATATGTCTGTTTTTATGCCAATACCACACTACTTTCATTACTACAGCTTTATAGTATTGTCTGAATTCTGGGAGGGCTATGGCTCCAGCTTTGTTCTTTTCCCTCAGTATTACTTTGGCAATTCTGAGCCTTTTGTGATTCCATATAAATTTTAGGATTATTTGCTCCAGTACTGTGAAAAATGTCATGGGTAATTCGATAGAGATCACATTAATTCTGTAGATTGCTTTGGGCCGAATAAGAACACAAAAAGATGCTCAACACTGCTAGTTATCAGAGAAATGCAAAACAAAACTATAATGAGGTATCACTTCACACCAGTCAGAATGGCCATCATTAAAAAGTCCACAAACAATAAATGCTGGAGAGGGTGTGGAGAAAAGGGAACCCTCCTACACTGTTGGTAGGAATGTAGTTTGGTGCAGCCACTGTAGAAAACAGTATGAAAGTTCTTCCAAAAACTTAAAATAGTTACCATATGATCCAGCAATCCTACTCTTGGGCATACATCTGGAGAAAACTCTAATTTGAAAAGATACATGCACCCCAATGTTCATAGTAGCAGTATTTATAATAGCCAAGATAAGGAAACAACCTAAATGTCCACTGACAGATGAATGGATAAAGAAGATGTGGTATACATATACAATGGACTACTACTCAGCCATAAAAAAGAATGAAATAATGCCACTTGCAGCAACATGGATGGACCTAGAGATTATCTTATTAAATGAAGTTAAGTCAGAGAAAGACAAATATCATATAATATCACTAATATATGGAATATAAAAAATTATACAAACAAACTTATTTATAAAACAGAAACAGACTCACAGCCACAGAAAACAAACTGATAGTTACCAAAGGGAAAAAGGGTGGCAGGGATAAACTAGAAGCTTGGGATTAGCAGGTACAGACTATTATATACAAAATAGATGAACAACAAGGTCCTACTGTATAGCACAGGGAACTATATTCAGTATCTTGTAATAACCTATAATGAAAAATAATATATATATGTATAACTGAATCAACTATGCTGTATACCAAGAACTAACACAACATTGTGAATCAACTATACTTCAATTTAAAGAAAAAAAAAGAGAGTATGGATTCAATTAAAGAAGAATATTTAGACTTGAGTGAAGCAGCAAACTGAAAACCACAGTCAGGTGGGTGTGGCCAGTATGAGTTGTTACTACCCTGTCACTGACAGCAGAGGCAGAGCTCAGCAGGAAACATGGCCCCTGTCCCTCATGAACTGCTCTGCTCACACATCCTGCCCTGTGGCTAACAGCTAGTCCCCTGAGAGATGCAAACAGTGGCCCAAACCCAGGAGGCCTTTGGGGAAACACTGATCAAAAAGTCTCTGCCCACAATTTTGTAAATTTTAATCAATTCAACAGCCTAGGCCTCCAAGAGACAGGTCAGGTCTGCCATCCTGGCTATTTGAACCATGGTTAGTGTCTGTGAAGAACAAAACTTTTTTTTTTTTAAGTCAAAAGGATGTAAGTTGTTATTGTTTCTGCTGAGGCAGGCAAATCAGCATGTCAAAAAGAAAAGAAACAAATCCACCTCTGAACTTTAATTACAATACAACTTTTTATGTAAGAGCATAATAAAGAAATGGAAAAGCCACTTACGGTGAAAAGAACTACTGTAAATTGTGGAAGCTTGAATAGATATTTCTTTAAAGAAGATACACATTCAGTGGCAGCTCAATCCAGACTGAGAAGGAATTGTGTTTGGTGGAGAGGCCACTCCTCCGCAACCCGACCACCCTCAGGCTATTGCAGATCCCTGCGCCTCGTTGGGAGGGAAAAGTAGAGTGGGCAAGACGAACAATAAGCGAAGGAGGAATCAGTAAGGCAGATGAACCTCCAAACACACAATGAGGAAACCCAAGCCTCACATCCAGTAGACCACAGGCCCCACATTTCAATAAAAGCCAATTTGTGGATGCAAAGTCTTGTTTTTATGGCACCCTTCTTGCCAGTCTAATCACTATGCAGCTTCATAAATAATTCTAGGGTTCCAACCTTTATTTACTAAACCAGAATCTCTAGTAACAAAGCCCAAGAAAGTGTTCTTTTCAAAATCTTCCAGGGGAAAGAACAGTTTTTCCAACAAATGGTGTAGAGACAACTGGACATCCACATGCAAAAGAATGAAGTTGTGTCCCTACCTCATACCTTATAAAAAACTAATTCAAGATGGATCAAAGACCTAAACATAGCTAAAACTATGAGAAGAAAACACAAAGTAAATCTTTGTGATCTTCGATTAGACAATGGCTTCTTACATATGACACTAAAAGCACAAACTACCAAATACAAAAATAGATAAAATGGACTTCCTCAAAATTTAAAACTTTTGTGCTTTAAAGGATGCTTTCAAAAATGAAAAGACAACCCAGAGAATTGGAGATAGTATTTGCAAATATGTATCTGAGAAAGGACTCATATTCAGAATATATAAAGAAATCTTGCCATCAACAGATCTGAATAGATATTTCTTTAAGGAAGATATACAAATGGCTAATAAATACATGAAAAGATACTTAGCATCATTAGTTGTTAGGAAATGCAAGTCAAAACCCCAACGGGATAGGATGTCACACCCACTAGAATGGTTACAATACAAGATAGATTATAGTAGTGTTGGAAAGGATGTAGGGTAAGTGAAACTATCATACATTGCTGGTGGGAGTTTAAAATGGTGAGCCTGTTATGTAAAACAGTTTGGTAGTTTCTCAAAAGTTAGACGTAAGATTTTCATATGACCCAGCAATTCCACTCTTAGGTATACCCAAGAGAGGTGAAAACAAATGTCCACCCAAAAGCTTGTGTACGAATGTTCAAAGCAGAATTATTATTCATAATAGTCAAAGAGTGAAAGAACTCAAATGCTCATCAATGGATGAATGGATAAAAAACTGGCACACCCATACAGTGGAATATAGGAATGAAGGAGTGATACATGATACAACCTTGAACCTTGAAAATCTTGTGTGAAGTGGAAATAAGCCTCAGACAGTATGACTTCCTGTAGTGAAACGTCTAGAATAAGTAAATCCATGGAGAGAGAAACTAGATCTGTGGATCCCAAGGGCTGGAGAAGAGCATGGGGAGTGACTGTTAATAGGTGCAGTTTCTTTTTGTGGTGATGAAGATGTTCTGGAATTAGAGAGTGTGTGAGGTGTGAGTGCACAGCCACCACCTCTGTCTGCCCCAAAATGCTGTACCTGGCCTGAAGGCGTCCGATTCCTTTCTTTGTTGTTCCCTGTGGAAAGCCATTGGCAGTGACATCCAACGGCTGCTCAGGAACTGCACTCCAGCTGATGGCTGTGAAAAGATAAGATTCTGGGGTTAAAACTGTTCAGTTTTTTGTAAATGTCAGAGGTGTTTTAATAAACATATTTCCCTACCACTGCAGACCCATGAGAGCTGGCTGGCGCGTCAGAGACAGCGGCTGCCATTCTGAAGCCTGGCCTCCAGAGCACAGCAGTATAAAGCAGTTCCTGATGCATCCTCCTCCTCATCATAGCAACAACCACTGAGCGTCTACCATATGCTGAACACACAGTAAACACATGAAATAGAGTTTCTCATTTATTCCTCGTAATAACCCTGATAAAGAAATGCTACTCTTCTCTGAAGATGAAGAAACTGAGGCCAAGAGGGGACAAGTTGCCCAGGGTCACACACAGTATGAACTTGACCCAGTGTGGGTGTCTCTCGAGCCACACTATTGACCACTCGGATGGTAAACTGCCTACCCAGGCTGGGAGGGTACAGCCCCTCTGAGGTCATTCTGTGGTTGGGGCGTAAGTGGAACCTGAATCCCTTACCTGCCCCACAAGGAACAAGTCGGCCTGGGCTGTCAGCCTTTTTTGCCTGCATTGCATAGCGGCCGTGTTCAAATAGTAAATCTGACTGCTGTATTTTCACTTCTTGAACTCCAAAGCCTTTGGGTAGAGCCGAGACGTTCTGACACCTAAATGTGAGGGAAAATGCACGCAGTTTAGGCTCACTCCTTGAGAAAGAGAGTATCTAGGACTGTGGACCACATCACCACCCATGTCTTTGGTGGGAGGCAAAGGCCTTAGGAGGTGTGTGGATTTATTTATTTGCTTATTTATTTATGGGGAGTATGGTACTGGAGGTTGTGACAAAATAGAATCTAGATCGTATCAACCTTATGTTTGGAGGAAGAACCCTTGTATCACTCTGAAGTGACAGCTAGGAACTGAGTCACCACTCCTCAAGGACTTCAGTAACATCAAACTCCATTCCAGATGTTGGCTTTGAAAGATTTGAAAACCGTAAGCAGAAATATTAACCTGTTGGCATCTGCTTCCTAGTGAATCCTTCAAACAAGCCAGAAACCAAGATGATCCTTTAATATAAAAGCTTTATTTTTTTTCCTCTCTTGAATATTTCACCCAAACTAGATGCCAACATGAAGTAGGTCTACAACTGAACAGACAGCAACTGAACAGACAGACAGTAGGTCTACAACAGTCTCAGAATCAGGAAAACATAGAAAACATCTTGGGTACAGAGCCTAGGGTTGCCTTTTCCCCCCTTAAGTTCTTTATTGGTATACAGTTTATATAACATAAAATTCACCCATTTAAAGTGCATAATTCATTTTTTTTAGTAGATTGAGAGAATTGTGCAACGATCACCACAATCCACATTTACAACATTTTCGTCACCCCAATAAGAAATGCTGCCCATATTGGCAGTCACTTCCTATCCCCTCTCCAGCCCCTGGCATCCATGAATCTACTTTCTGTCTCTATGGATTTGCCTATTCTGTACAATTCACTTCATGAAATCACACAAAATGTAGCTTCTTTCACTGAGCATAGGTTTTTCAGGGTTTATCCGTGTTGTGACAGGTATCAGCACTCCATTCCTTTTTGTGGCTGAGTAATATTCCACTGCACGGATCTGCCACATTTTATTTATCAATTAGCCAGGTGGTGGACATTTGGGTTGTTTCACTCTGGGGCTATCATGACTAATGCTGCTATGAACATCCCTGTAAAGGTTTTATGTGGATGTATGCCTTTGTTTCTCCCAGGCATGTACCTGGCAGTAGAATCAATGGGTCATATCCTGGGGCTGCTTCCCAGAGTCGGCCTCAGGGTGGTACATTTGACAAGGACCCACAGCTTTCCCCAGCCACGACTCCATCCTGCCCTCAGTTACTACAGCATTAATCAGGTTTGGCTGCCCTTCTTCAGGGAGACCTCACTTGAGTGGTCATCTTTGTCTTTTATCTTTTTAAAAATTAACACTAATGATTGAGAGTTTTTAAACATTATGATAGCAATATAGGTACAGTGCATAAAAATTAGAAAACAGAAAGAAAAAAACACCACCCATAATATCATAATCATATTAATAATACCTTGGTGTATATCTTCGAAGCTACAATTTTGTTTTCTACTTGTGTATATACTTTAAGACCAAAATGAACTCTATTTATCTTCTAAATTGCTCTCTAAACACTATGAGCATCTTCCCATGTTAAATATTCATCAATATTTGTTGTAACAAAAACCACAATCTATTGCTGGCCATTTCAGTGGTTTCCTTTTGTTTTGTTTTTCAATGAGAACACACAATGTTAAATGAGCACTTTCTTCATTATTTCCTCAGGACAAATCCTAACTCTTTGTACGTCTGTATGTATGTATGTATGTATGTCCAAGGCTCTTTGAACAAACTCTCAGACTGCTTCTCTGAAACACTATCCCAGCCGAGCCCTCCCTCCCTGCCCTCCTACCTCCCAGTCAGTGCTCTCTGCATGGCCTCCTGGCTGTACGGGCACTTTCCAATGACCACAGCTGACAGGTAGACGGGCTCTTCTAGGAAGTGCATCAACAGTGCCCCCTGGCATCCCAGGACGTTCCACCGTGCCAACTTGTCACTGCAGGACATGGAGCAAGTTCTGTCTCCCCGGCCTGGCTTCACTCGGAGCAGCCCCACCTGGTGATACGCAGCACCAGGCTTCCCTGAGTCTCCAGCTTCTCCCGGCACACACTTGGCTCCAGTTCTATAAACGTCTACCACTTTGGCACCACCGGGGGCCACTCCAGTAACAGCAGCCAGTTCCTCTGCAGTGAGATTAGAGCTGTTGACTTTTGGTGGGTTTGAGTCACCTTCCTGATTGCCAAAACTCCGATGGTGAGCCACACAGTCAGAAGTCCCGGGCTCAAGGCTTATCTTTTTGATCACAGGACTATCCAGATCTTCACATTTCCTTTTACCTTCAGGAGCTTCTAGGTAACCACTGGCTTCTACTGATGGGTTATTAGCCCAATCTCTACTGACAGGACAGCAAGGCTGATCTTCAAACTCAAGCATTGGAATGATGGAGGCATCCCCACCTGCAGGAGAAGAAATCCCTTAAACCAGTGGTTCTCAGTGAGGTCCCCAGACCAGCTACATTACTGTCCCTTTAGGAACTTGTTGGAAATGCAAAGTAGACCTGGTGAATCAGAAACTCTGGATGTGGTACCCAGCAGTCTGTTTTAACAAGCTGTCTAGATGATTCTAATGTAAGTTCAAGTTTGAGAACCACTGCCTTAAACAAAGCTTAATTCTATTCTCCCAAATGAGTAAGAACACTTGACCAAACTTCCCTAATAAGACTCCTCTGGGGCTTTTGCTGAAGACCCCATCCAAGACCCAGTTAGTTAGAATTTCTCAGGGGGAGGAGTCTTGAAGATGGAATAGTTTAACAAAGATCCCAGGTGATTCTTATCACAAAAAGTTTTGGAAACACTAATTTAGACCAGGGTATCTCAACCTCCACACTGACATTCTGGGCCAGATAATTCTTTGCCTGGGGGCTGTCATGTATATTACAGGATGGTTAGCAGCCTCCTTGATCTCTGCCCTCTACATATCAATAGCACCCCTGAGTCTGACCATCAAAAATGTCTGCAGATGTTGCCAAATGTCCCCTGGGCAGCAAAACTGTCCTCAGTTGAGAACCCCTGGTTTAGAATGAGCACTGTTTCCCAAGCGCATTTTGTGGAATATTATCCCATAAGATGCCATGGGAAACAAAAGTGGACGGTTGATTTCATGGTTAAATAAATTTGGCAAATAATGCTCACCATTTCCCCATCTTGGCGATTTATGTGCATATCCTCACAGTAAAGACTGACGTTTCTCCCTGCTGGTTTAGAGATTTCTGACCTACTTTGTGTTTATAGAGAATCAAAGAAAACCAGAGGTCAGTAAAAATCACAGCATCCCCTTGGAAAGGGAGCTACTCCTTCAGACTCTAACCTAATGTGTGGTGATTTCTACAGTGTGTAAATAATACATCTGTGGTCTATATAACCTAAGAGTGGGAAGGGCAAGAAAGACAGAAGTGGAAGTACTGCCAGAAAGGCTGGCTGGCAGGCTTCCAGAGACCTCACAAGGTGACAGTGACTTTAGAGAATTCACCAGGGCCTACCTCCACACTAAAGATTTGGAGACCTGATCTTGAAAGATGCCTGAACTCGAGAGGCTGACGCACGCAGATATAACTCACAAGTAAGAGTCTGAAGTAGCTAACCCAGGTACCAACTTATCAATTAGTAGCGGGGAATAAATGCCAAGGGAGCTAGGACAGTCACATCCTCTAGGTAGCATTCTTTCTTCCTGCAGACAAACCAGGGGTGGACATCACACTGTAAATATCACCCATGACTCGGAGTTAGATCATTGGTCCCAGATTTTGATTTCCCAGACCAGTAAAATTTCCAGATTTTAAGATCAATATAGCATTGTTAACTTTTTATTCTATCAAGCAACATCTTTAAAAATTCTAATTACCATTATTTTAAAAAACTGTATAGACTTCATAACCTTTAAATGGAAGAAATTAGCTTTTTCAAAAACTCACCGGATAGTCCTGCTTCTTTTCATCTGGCCATGGACCAGCCTATGGGCCACTGATTGATGTAGTTTGACTAAGCGGTCAGGCCAGCTGTGATGCCCAGATGTATCTCTCTCCCCAAGAAGGCTACACCTGCCACTGAGGTCAGCCAGGCCCCAGCTACTCAAAGTGTGGTCCATGGGCAACATGTGGGAACTGGTTAGAAGTGCTCTACCCTTAGATCTACTGAATTTGAATCTGCCTTTTAACAAGATTCCTGGGTGATTCACATACATATTACAGTTTGAGAAGCACTGAGTCAGGAAACATCCTTTGGTCCTTGGGTGCCCTGGTCCAAGAACACTGCTAAGAACAGAGTATGAATGAGCCCTGTCTCCTTCTTTTTTTTTTTTTTTACATTTTTTATTGATTCATAATCATTTTACAGTGTTGTGTCAAATTCCAGTGTTCAGCACAAGTTTTCAGTCATTCATGGACATATACACACTCATTGTCACATTTTTTTCTCTGTGATTTATCATAACATTGTCTCCTTCTGTATGTCATTTTTTCTGCTCTTTGTAAGCTGTATTCTATTTTTGATTTATGATCTTCAGTGATTATCTCTTAAGAGTGATCACCTATCTGCTCTAATTGCGTGTGTTATTTTTAAAGTTTAATCCTCGGGGGACAATCTTACATCCTTATTTCAAAGTTTTTAGGGTGAGGAAATTTTATGACCATGCTTGAGTTGTTGTCTATAAAGTGTAGAAATTATTCTCCATTTTCAAGACATAAAAACAAAGAACAGAAATGAGCCTCTAGGCCAGGTCTGGTCTTCTTGCCTAATGCAACCACAGCACCTGAACATCCCCTTACAATCCATCAAAATTTACCTAAACTAATCATGACCGTCTGCATTTCCTAAAACACTGAAGGGTAAGTAAGGGACTAGTCTTATTCACTGCTACATACCTAGTATGTCATACCTGCCTGACAAGAAGTAGAAAATACCTATTTAATGAATGAACAAGTGAAGTGAGTTCTGGGATAAATTATTATAGTACTCAGGGCTTTGGATTTCTAAGCCCTATTGTTGGTTTCAGGCCTTGTGGGATTTCAGCTTTAAACTTCCCAATCCTGATCGGAAACTAACTGAATAGTATGAGCGAAGCTCTCCCCATGTTTCCTTGGTAGAGAAGCGACTAGGCACACTGGGCTGCTAACAAAAAGGCACTATCACTGGTTGTAGCTACATTTCTGCCAAAGTGGTTTTTTTTTTGAGAAACATATCTGTGGATAAGACAACAATAAGGAAGCAGACAATGTAATGTGAATCCAAAGGCTTGAATTTACTTACATGGTGTATGGCTGGAGAAAAACACAAACAAGAGGTCTGGTCTGAGTTTCCACAGTCCTCTCTGAGTTCCTGGGACAAATATGCTATCCTCCTTCAGGGTGGCAGCCAAGCGAAGCTGATGGAGAAGGTACCTAATAGGGTGCAGGATGTTATCAGAACAACCAACCAATCTCTGTGGTAAAGGGAAAGACTGGCTAGGTGATTACTAAGAGATAAAGAGATACTGCAGACCAATGGGACTGGAAGCGATTTGGAATTATGAGAATGATCTAGACCAGTGATTCTCAAAATGTGGTCCTTGGACTAGTAGTATCAGCATCAGCTGGAATTTATTAGAAATGCAACTTCTGAGGCTCCTCCCAGACCTGCTGAATCAGGAGGTCTGGAGGTGGGCCCAGCAATCTGGGTTTTAACAAAGACTCTATGTGATTCTGATGCACACTCAAGCATAAGAACCACTGTCTAGACCAGTGCTATTCAAAGTGTAGTTCAGAGACTGACATAATCAGCATTACCTGGGAGCTTGTTAGAAATGCAAATTCTGGGGCCCCCACCCAGGCTAAATCAGACTCTTTGGGAATGTGGCTTTACCTTTGGAAACTCCTTCTGGCAATGACCTCAGCATGGCTGTCATTGAGGATGTCTCCTGTGGCAGAGACAGGACACTAGTGAAGACATAGGGAACCTGGAGAAGCCCTGGTTCCTAGAAGCAGAACACAGCAGTTTCCCCAGCACCCAGGATGGCCATGTAGCCCTGGACACCTCTGCTAGTAAATATCACAATAATTAACGGCCAAGCATTTACAGCAGGATTTCCTCAACTCAGCACTACTGACATTAGAGGCTGGAAAATTCTTTGTTGTTGGGAGTCTGTCCTGTGCGATGCAGGATGTTTAGTAGCATTCCTGGCCTCTATTCACCAAGTCCAGTAGCATTCTCCCCTCTCCCTAGTTTTGACAAACCAAAAATATCTCCAGACATTGCCAAATGTCTCCTGGGGAAGGGGGGGTGGCAAAAAAAAAAAAATCTCCGCTAGCTGAGAACTCCTGATTTATAGGGAAATTTTTATCTGAAGGACAAAGTTTCAGATCTTTCATATCCTGGTACCATGCCTGTGCTCATGGTGATGCAATTTCATTGAATTCAATCAGTAGTGGTCCTGGAACGGTCTCCTCATATTCAGGAGGCAAGGCTAGGAGAATGAGGGAAGCAAGCTGGAGGAGGAATTCATTTGCAGATCCAGAAGGTGAAGATGCCAGAGCTCTAAGGGATTTCCATATTCCTTCTGGTACCAAAATCTCCATTTAATTCAGGATTGCTTTCTGGGGCTTCAGATCTGATGTGGAATAGCTAAGCCCAGCGACCTTACGGTTGGAGCATGAAAATACTGGCCAACTTTCAACCCACTCAGAAAGATGTTCCTGTCACGGCTTTGGCTTCCAGAGCTTATTTCCATTCTTTAAATGAGTTCTGTCCTTCCACCTGGAGCAGCGGCCAGTGGGAACTCAAAGGTCAGCCACCTCAGGAATATGGCCCCTTTGCTCTGAAAGGAACAGGTAACATGGACGCCGGTTTCCAAAGCTCCCTAACAGGCCCTGTTTCGACCCCACCAGGCTTACCGTTCTTCCTCATTTTGGACTGGCCTATGCATTTAGTTCCTGTTCCCATTGAAACAACTTCTTTTGTCACTGAGGGGGAAAAACAAACCATTAAGTGAGGTCTCAGAATCCGAATGGTCCCTAGTCCTCAGGCTTAATAACTCTGCACATTCCTCCAGAAGGCTGACCCAAACTGAGGCCCGCGGTTTCTGCACGGCCGTCTCCCGCCACCAGAAGTATGGCTGCGCTATTTGGCAGTGAGCAGCAGAACATGCCCAACATCGCGGCTCACCCCTCCATCCCCCTACCCCACCTGCCTCCCCAGTCCCTGCACAGCCCTGTGTAATTCTACCATCCGTGACAGGGAGACAGTGCTGCCCAGGGAGAAGAGGCCTCACCTTGCACTCCACCATCGGGGAAGTCGCAGGCCTGGCCAGTTGCAGGTTGTATCTTCACCACGGCAGCGAGCAACGTCCACTCGCGGTTGGCCTCAGGCTTCCCTTGCTTGGGGAGCCTGCTCCCATAGTGCTCGTAACACAGCCGCGCAATCTCATCCGCAGTCCACATGGTGCGAGCTGGGGCTGAGACCCTGATCAAAACCCACAACTATCAGAAGGGCAGAAAGGACAACTGATGCAAGATGCTACAACTTGGCACTGGTGCTTCAAGAGGCTTTCGAATGCAGCCCAAGCACATTCATACTGAGGTTTCTCTGCTTGGAACTTTATGGGTCATCTTCTACTACTTCTCTGCCCTCTTTTCACCTTTAATGAAAGATCAAAGAAGTCTTAAATCTCACAACCCCAGAAGACACCCTATTTCTTCAAGCTGCTCTTAAAAAAAATGAACAGTTGGATATTTAATATTGGTTAATTTTAGTGATCTGAACCTAACTACTCAAAATGAAAGCATATGAGAGGGAAGTATCCTTGCTACTCCAATTTTCATTTGGAAATAGCAAATAAATGCTGCAGACCTCAGCTTGCTTGGGGCAGACCCTCCCCATACAAGGTTTATCTTTCTGGGGAAAAGGTTCTTCTTTTCTATGCTCTTTTTCAGATGTTTTGTTTTTCTCTTCTTTCCTTCACAGTTAATTGGTTCTTTACTTCCTTCTAGTAAATCTCCACTGATGCTCCCATCAAGAAAGCAACACTTTAGTTTTTCCTATGATATTTAATGATGCAGAGGGAAAGTGACAGAGCCTAGAGTTTTCTCACCAGTCAAGTGTTCTCCTCAGAGTGAGGGTTTTGGAGTTACCCTTCCTAGATTCTAATCCTGGTTTTTGTTATATATTAACAGTGCATTATTGTATAGATCACTTCACCTCTCTGTGTCTGTTTTTTCATCTGTTAAAACAGAGGCAGTAGTATTTAATCCACTGGCGTTAACGTAAGGCTTAAACAATATTTATAAAAAGCAACTGGTACAATGTTAAGCATAGTTAATGTCAACTGAGATTAATATTACAAAAAAAGAACATTTGATTTTCCTGACTGATTTGCTTTGAGCTCTTTGGCAGGTAGTGGAAATGCAATGGAGATGTAAAAACCATGAATAAGGAACCATTAAGCGGATCAGACCTGAAAGAGGCATAGGCTACTTTGCTAGAAACTCTCCCACTCTTGACTCTAACCATGCTCACTCAATGACCTCATTTGGATGCAAATGTATGAAAAGCATCTTAGTGGAAAATGAGATCATATGGTGATGCACAAAGCCAAGCATGTTAAAAAAAGAAAAAGGTTCTATTGAGCCCCAATGTATATAGTAGACAACTGATTTTTCTACAGTGAGCCCCTTGCATTGTGTTAAATTAATTAAACAAGGTCATCAGATTGATGAGTCTCTAATGCTGTGGTGGCCTATTTAAACAAGCCAAGATCTAAGCATGTAGATGCCTCAAGGTTACAAAATCAAAACCGAAAAGGACAACCAACCACAACCAGCTAGGATTCAAGCTATAGCCAATCAAATAATTTCCTTTCTTGCTTCTGTACTTTCTCTACATCAGTCTTTACCCTGGCTCCAGTCTGCAGAGGGTTCCTAACTACTGCTTTGGTACTGCCTGACTGGAACTGATTTCTGCTCAAATTCTTAAAAACTTGAATATGCCTCAGTTTATCATTTAACAGTTCTGATGTGCAGGCCTGTTATTTCAATAAATGGTCATGGTAAAGCAGACCATAGTGATTTAAACAGAAATCTGGCAGGAACTGACATAACTGCGACTTTAAAGTCAGAGAACCAGTATAAGTCTTTTATCTTCTGGAGCAAAAGAAAGCATGGGAGAATCCAGAATTCGTTTGGAAGGGATTTCCCTTTCATTTCTTGGGGCTGGGGGAATCACAAAGCATTATGCTTTAAGGCAAATACTTTGGCACCAAACTGAAATTAAACCAGAGGCACATATCACAAACCGTAATAGCCAAGGAAGACAGAGCTTGCCAGAAGAAACGCTGACTCTACGATGAAGCAGTTCAAAACTGTATCATCGCTTCATTCACGGAGTTGAGTCTGGATGAGCGTGTCCAGTAGCTGAATAAATATTTTGCTACACTGGATACACTAAAATTCAAATCCACTCTCTCCTAGATCTTGAATAACTTCTTCCCTATGAAACAATAGTTCAGTTTAACAGGCATCTCTTTGCCCACAAGACCGCATATTTTAACAATTGCGAAAAGCTCAAGAACCCACTTCCTTAAAAAAAAAAAAAGTTAAGGCAGATCAGCTGCCAGGCGAGAAAAGGCTTTAGCAGGGTTCCCTTTGGACCCCTTCTCAGCACCCTCCAGGGGACCGAGATGGGGCCTATTCGGCCGGTTATGGGAGACTCCAGACCCGCGGAGTAGCGACAACGTGCTCGCGCGTCCCTTTGAATTATTTGGGATGATGCCGTGAGGCCACGCGCTCGCCCGAAGCAGGAGCTCTCCGCGCAGGGTATGTTGGCATTTCCATGAAAGCTACAGTATTTTCCCACGGAATGCGCGGCAGGGAAGGCACGGCCCTCACATCCTCTTCTCACACAGAAAGGGCTCGGGAGAGTCAGACCGAGGGCACCTCACCCAGGAGGCCCAAGGCCCCCTCAAGCGAGCGCCCTCCGCCCCGCGACCCCACCCTTTCACCAACACTTTCCTCCCACCTCCAAGACGCGCGCCCTCAAAAGGAGCGAGGAGAGCCCGCGCGGCGTAGTGGACGTGACGTCACAAAGAGACGACTCTCCCAGGCCCCGCCCCCAGGGTCGCGCAGTGCACGCTGGTTCTTGCAGTCCTTTGGTGGGCGGGCCCAGGAATCTTGGTGCTGGTGCTCAGAGTCCAGCGACTTCCCGTGCTTTGCTTAGGTACCGGTGAAATGGGATAAGGGAAGCTGACTACCCGGTAAGGTAGATTCAAATACAATGATGTGTCGAGCCAAACTGTGAGCGTAGAACTGGTTAAGGAGGTAATGAGGACTTTATAATCCTATTTTCCTTCCAGCTTTCATCCTGTTTGCCATTTTTCTTGTCATACCCCACAGACTAGTTGTCTGCTTCTGCTTCAGTTCCTATTCCCAGCCTTAAGGCCAGACAGGTGGCTTCTGCCTCCAGCCTCCTACCAAACAGCTCTTTAGTAACCTCATTAATCCTTGTTTGCCTTTTCCAGGGGTCCACACTGACACTAGTGTTGCCTTAAAGTCCAGTCTCTTATCCTGACCCTACACCCTCTCCCTTGGTGATGATTGTGTTTATTTTAGTTGACACCACCTTGCTGAAGGATGTGAGTTCTGCAGTGTTTCTTCTGAAATACCACCTGGTCATCTCACCACTGCTGCCAAGTGCTCTTGGGGTTGATGCTTCAATAGCAGCAAGGAGTGATGTGCTCAGCACTCCCTGAAGTAGTTCCCAGTTAGGTCGTTCTGTGTGCTTTGATCATTTTACCAGCTGTGGAAGTAGAAACCTGCTCTGTGAAACCAGACTGGCACCATTCAAACCAAGACGCTAGCAGGTTTTGCTGAGGTGCAAAAGCCAAGTCCTTTGCTGTGTGACTCACTGGAAAAAAGCTTCCCCCAGCTGCCTCCTGGTGTCAGGGGCTCCATCATAACAGGCCCTCAGCCATTCCCTTGTCACCTTCTTATCCCTGATAAATTGAGCTGAAAATAACGAGAATACTCTAGACTCACACTATTCAACATCCTTACTAGTCCCACCTGTTGTCTAAAAGGCATGTCAAATTTAATATGTCCAAAACCATACACTCAACCTTCCTTTTCCAACCTGCACTTTCTCAGTTTTTTCCATCTCAAGTCAACGCCAACTCTTACTTTTCAGTTGTTCAGGCCCCAACCTTGAAGTCAATTCTTGTTCTCACACCCCACACCCCATTGGCAGATCCCGCTGACTTCAGGAACACAGGCAAAGCTCAATGGTTTGTAAACATCACCATCGTTTTACACCACCCAAGGCTAAGTTGTCCCCTCTCCGCAGCCCATGTGTCTCCCTTTCACTCTTGCCCTCCATTTGCTAACTAGAACAATCTTTGAAAAACACTACTTGAAACCTTCCAATGGCTTCACATCTCAAATAAAACCTCTGCCTGGCTTACAGGTTCCTGCATGACCTGGCCCCTCAATGACCTTTACTAACTCCTGTCCAGCCATACCAGATCCCTTTGCTGTTCCTCAAAATGTAGCCCTCTAGTCTGGATCACGTCACGCTCTTCCACTCAGATCTCCCCGTCTGTCCTGATCTCTACTTAAATGTCAACTAGAAGAGATCTTCCTTGACCACATATTTAAAGTAGCACCACCTCCATCTACCTCTTTTTAATAGCACCTCTGACCCCTTACCTTGCTCTATTTTTCTTCTTAGTATGCATCACTACCAGAAATAATACGGATGTTTAGTTGCCCCCACCCCAACACTACCCCACCCCTTAAGAGTTTAAGTTCCACTAAAGCAGGAACTTTACTGTTGTTCACTGCTGTGGCCCTAACCCCTTACAATAATGGCTGGCACAGAGCAGAAATTAATATAAATTTGTTAAATGAACAGAGTGGTATAATGCTAAACATTCATTAGGCAGCTGTCTGAAAAAAAGATGACATTCCAAAAGTAAGAGTGGTAAGACAGGAGTAGAGACAAATGGTTTATTTAGTAACAAGGAGTAAAAAGGAATTCTTAATTCCTCTTCTCTCTTCTTATGGCTGAACTGAACTGTGATAGTCACATAGCAATACACACAGGAATCCTCTCACAGTCCTTGATCTTTTGCAGAAACACAAAGATGCTGGAGTCACAGGACTTGCAATTGTTTTCTAGACAGAAGTGCCGGGTGCTGTGCTTTCTGATGTATCAGTAGTCAGGACATTCTCCTTCTTGTCTTCAGGTTTCATGGCAGGAAACAGAAGCACTTCCTACAGAAGACACAACGCATTCTGAAGCTAAGGAACACTCTCTGTCTCCCATCTACTCACCCATTCCTTTCACCTCTGGTGGTTATTTTTACCACTGAAATCTGGAGACCTGCATTCTTTTATTTCAATTCAGTCCCTCTCAGATACAGAGGAGGGCAAAGAACAAATGCACAGCACTGCCTGGGGCACGGCATCAAAGAAGGAATAAACACAGAGTCTTCAAATATGACTTCTTCATCTATAACCATGGGATAGCAACTGCTTTCACACATCACAGGCTGACTTAAGGTAAACGAGATAATGTGCGTAGAGGGCCTAGCACATTCCCTGGATCCTCAAGAAATGCTGAACAAGTAGAATTTCTTCTGCCTCAGACAAAACCCCCCCAAATCCTGTGAGGTCAGATACTCTGACCCTCCGCCTGTGGAGACATATGTAACTCCTCTGCCTGCCCCCCCTCCTAGCCCAAAGCCCTTTCTTTATGCTCCAGGCCCACCAGGCTGTGCCTGCAACACAGCACACTCCTCCCTGGCAGCCAGGTACCTTGATGTTATTGGAGTCCGTGAGAAACATGGCAACGCGGTCGATGCCCATGCCCCAGCCACCTGTGGGGGGCAGCCCGTACTCCAGGGCGGTGCAGAAGGTTTCATCTATGAACATGGCCTCATCATCCCCGGCAGCTTTGGCCTAGAAGAGGAGAGAAGCACACAACAATGTTCCAGGGTGTGCCCTCTGTGTCTGAGTGAGCAAGTTAAAACGTTCAGAGGGATTACCATTCCAGGGATGCTCTGGACACCCAGCACTTGCCAGGAATTGGTTTCCCAGTAACTCCAGGATGGAGTCTTTTCTTTCAAAGACCTGGAGGTTAGGACTGATGAACTCTACCTCAGAATACATGCAAATTTCTCTGCAAAATGAAAACACCTCCACTGCCTTGGGCTCTGGGAGTCCAGTGAAATTGATTTCCAGACTCTGATGACAGTCTTTTTCCTACGTACCAAGACTTCCCATCAGTGGCAGAGCTAGTGCAGGCTGCCTGTGGGCACTGTCTTCTTGTCCCCACGCCACTTCAATAAATGTACCATCTAAGAAAAATTGCTAAATACATCAAGACAAGTGCCACACTCCCCACGCCTAAGCTCTGTTTATGAAGAAATTCCAGGGCCAAAACTAGTCAAGTTTTCCATCTTGAAATGTGATTCCCTCCAGTGAAGCCTGTAACTCTCATCTTTCATTTCTGCTGAGGTCACCAAGAGTTGCACAAGACTCAGACCAGGGTTAAGGCTGCTGTTTTCTGGTGAGTGGGCACACACACTCCTGCTTTACCTTGGCCTGTTCTTCAAAAAGCTGCCGCTGTCGCATGGGGTCATTCAGCTCAGTGTAGGCATTGCATATTTCCTTTTTCATGACAAATAGCTCAAAGCGTTCAGTCAGACCTTCTTTAGAGCGGTGCCTGGGGACAGGAGACCAAAGGGGAGGCTGAAGAGGCAGGTTCACTAAGAACATCTGGTTATGAACACAAGAATTCCTGAATTCTGGTTGACTCAAACGTGTTACTGATTGTGACCTGAAGCCTGCACGCATTCTTGGCACCCAATCATTTGGTTCAATAGTGAGGAGAGTTAAAGACAAGGAAGCTTTCATTACCTTCACAAGAGACCTGTGTGGTAGACTGGTACACTGAACCATACCTCCTGGATTCAGGCCCTTCTGTAGTCCCTGCCACTTTGACTCTGGGCTGCCCATAAGACTTGCTCTGGCCAATGGGACATTGGCAGAGGTGGCAGAAGCTTGATAGGTATTTGCACACCAGGGTTTATTCTTTTGGAATGCTTCCATGTAACCCAGCCACTCTGAAAGGAAGCCCTGGCTATGCTGCCAGAGACGCCACATGAAGAGGCTCGGGAGGCCCAGATCCCATGTGGAGGAGAAGCAAGATGCCCTGGCAGAGTTCCCAGTTGAAAAAAGCCACTTGAGTTACCCTAGGCAACACCACAGAGAGCAGAAAGACTACCCAGTGAACCCACAACGCACTGAGAAGTAATTGCTGTTTTATGCCACTAAGTTCTGAGGTTATTATGCAGCAATAGGGAAGGGAAACACCAGGCTTTATCTTACCATTTGGCTAGAGGGCTCATTATCTGCGGGTGATCACAGATGAATGTAGGATTGATGCACGTGACTTCCAAGAACTCCCCGACAAGCTTAAGGAAAAAGCAAAGTAGAGCTAGAGATCCCTTCTAAATGGCATTTTGATGGTCTCAGTCTTGGTGAAAGAGGACTCGGCTCCGACCTATACCTGATACCAGAGGGGTTTATCCTAAGCTTTTCAATGGTGGGTAAGGATTAACTGACGTAACCTACACAACTATTTGGCACAGAGCTTAGAACAGCAGGAATTCAAAACTTGTTCTTTCTGTTTTGAGCTGTCTTGTGAAGCTACAGAAGTTCAGTCTCACAGTGGCATTTGCCTGCATGGGGAGCAGGGACGTGAGCACTGGAGGAGGGGAGGCCTTTTACCTTATCAAGGAGTCTGGCTGTAGTCCGAGGTGGAGGACATTCAACAGCTTTTGCTACACAGATATCATCAAGAATTTTACGAGTTTCTGTAATACAAATGTACAAGTTAAGACAAAAGACATCACACTACCCCATTAAAAAGTATATAAGTAGAACAGCATGGGAAATTCTAGCCCTGACCTAACTAATTCAGAGCTGAACAGGAAGGAGGGCCCAACAGCAGAA